CAAGATATATCATAACAAATTTTATGTTCAAATAGCCAAAAATCCCAAAACAAATGTAATGCTTTACAAAGAATTCAGGCGCGATACTTACTAGGCAGGAGACACTGGTAAACTGAGGCGCGATCACCATGCCACCACGCGCTAGGTCAGCCCATACGTATATCAACAAACTCCTTTCCCGAGGCAAAGTTTGTAACCCGATTCAAATTTTTCGAAGAAATTAGGCTCGTAACCCGAAAAGTTCATAAATATTCATTCGTAAGCCGAGGTGTCACTATATACAGTATAACTAAAAAATTAAACTCAGGATTACTTTCAACCCCCACCCCTTTTGCTCTACTCCATCGCCACCTACCTTCACCCCCCTCTATGATGTACTCTTCCATAGACACCTACCTTTGCCCCCCTCCTCCCCTCTACTCCTCCATCATCACCTACCTTCACACCCCCTCCCTTCTCCTCCTCCATCGTCACCTTCCTTTCACCCTCCTCTATTATGTACTCTTCCATAGACACCTACGTTCACTGCATATAATGCTCCCCTCTACTCCTCCATCGTCACCTACTTTCACCCCCCCCCCCTCCGCTCTACTCCTCCAGGGTCGCAGACAATTTCACGAGCGTGAGAACTACGAGTTCTCTAACCACTCTCACACTCCTACTCTCTCGCCAGTCATCCCTCCCCTTCCCAGGGGAGGGAAGGAGGGAAGAAATGAAGGAAGAAAGGTGGAGGAGAGAGAATAGGCATGGGGGAGGAGGGCCTAGATACATTTCTTCCATATAGATAGGTAGACTGAGGGAGAGCTGCTTGCCAAGAGCCCTATCAGACAGGCTTCCTATTCCTCAACCCTCCCTAATATGCCACATCCTGGTCAGGACAACTTGCTCGATTGTTATTCTTGGTGTGACTCGAGAACTGACCTCGAGGCGGGGCATGGGCATGGATTATCTCCCTGGGGCACGCACCTCCCTGCCCCAGCTCGCTCTCTCTCTCACATAATCTATCAAGGGTCTAACATGAGGTCATTGTGCCTACTAGAAGTGTATATGTCCAAGGCTGGCCACCTGTCTGGACCATTCAAATGTATAAACACGTAATTAGTCTATTAAAATTATATATAATGCTACAATTATAATTTAATTTGTTCATGGTCATTCGTTTATCAGTATTTTAATATGAGGTATATATACGCATGTATGTATACGTTGACGTACACATATATGATTATGTGTATGGAATGATTATGATTATGTGTAATCATATATGATTATATCTAATGGAATGCATTAGTAAGTGATGTGGTGGAGGCTGACTCCATACACAGGTTCAAGTGTAGATATGATAGAGCCCAATAGGCTCAGAAACCTGTACACCTGTTGACTGACGGTTGAGAGGTGGAACTAAAGAGCCAGAGCTCAACCCCAGCAAGCACAATTAGGCGAGTATATGAACGAATGCACATGTACACTTTCAAATGAATTAAGATACCTTGAGATACACAATGACTTAGTTTAAATAGTTTAAACACATTATGGTACTGATTTTGACATGCTGATGTCTGGAAGGGAGAGGGGGTGTGGGGGGTTATTGTCTGAGGTGGAGGACCAGAGGAGGGGGTCAGTGGAAGGATGGTGGCTGGAGGGATGCCATTGTTCTAATGGTTATGAAAACAATTATTGATGGCAGGAATTCAGTGGGTGTGTACTTCACCGCACCATCACCATACTGTGCCCTGCTTCAACCCCCCCCCCCCCCCCCCCCCCTCCACCCATGCTGTGCGGGGCGTATTACACATTATGGGATAACCGACTGTCTGTCCATTCCTGTCTGCTCGTTATGCTGCCCTTCCTTTTGAAAATTGTCTGCTTTATCGACTTCCTTCAAGACCACACGTTAGCCTCTTATCACGCCCTCTTACCACTCTCAGGGAGCCGGCTCTTCTATACAATAGTTACCACTCAATCCCCAAGGTGAAAGAGTGTCCGGGCATATGACTTGTTACGTGTACTTATTTGCGATTCGTTTGGGCTGTCACGTGTGGTGATTAGTGTTGGGTAAGGCTAGGCCAGGTCAGGTCAGACTAGGCCAGGTCAGACTAGGCTAGGTAAGGTCTCCGTGGTGTAGTGGTAAGACACTCGCCTGGCGTTCCGCGAGCGCTATGTCATGGGTTCGTATCCTGGCCGGGGAGGATTTACTGGGCGCAATTCCTTAACTGTAGCCTCTGTTTAACGCAACAGTAAAATGTGTACTTGGATGAAAAAACGATTCTTCGCGGCAGGGGATCGTATTCCAGGACCATAGGATTAAGGACTTGCCCGAAACGCTACGCGTACTAGTGGCTGTACAAGAATGTAACAACTCTTGTATATATCTCAAAAAAAAAAAAAAAAAAAAAAAAAGGCTAGGCCAGGTCAGGTCTGGTCAGGTCTGGCTAGGCCAGGTCAGGCCAGGCCAGGCTAGGCAGGGTGAGAGAAGTAAAGCGGCAGGTACTTACGTTTCCGAGAAAGTAGCGGCGGTAGTATATTGTTGATTTAGATTCGACAACATCCTGAAGCTAGTAGGTGGCGGCCTCATCGCTCTCGAACTTCTTGTTGTTGTAGGGGATACGAGGCACACCCAATATCCCCCTTACATTGATCACATCGCACACTAATATTTTTACTATTTCGGACACCAGATTTGTCTGTTTCGTATATGTATAATTGTTTAATATTAAAACCACAATAGAATGCTCTTAACAGTTACAATTTTCAACTTAACAGCCATATAGTTGGCAAGAATGCCGCCCGCCAGTGCAAATGTCTCAGACCCTGTTGGAATATAACCAGTCTGTCAATCGGGTCAACCCAAGTGTTGCGTTTCCATGCGTTTCCAAAAGGGTCGCTCATGTTGGAATCGGTGAACGCCCTAGTAATATTGTTGAAAACATCTTAATAACTTATTAAACCAAAGGTCTTTTTATGTCAGAAGAACGGCAGAAACTAGATCTATATATGAAAACCCTTTCAGGACAAAATTTAAAGTAAAACTAAAGATATTTGTAGTTGTATAAAAGTTGCATTTTTCATCGGTCGTAGAGCCGGAAATCCGCAATATTCATCTCAGAACAATGCTTATTTCACGCAGAATCGTTAATAAACGTAAGATTTTTATACGTCTCAAGAAAGATAGAAACATAAATTTACTTTAATCTAGTTTTACATAATCTAGTTTTACTTTAAATTTTGTTATATGTTTTATTTTTTGAAAATATGTTTTATTTTTGTAACTGTAGGGCAGTTTGGGTAATATCTGATAAAGTTCCACTTTAGGTTATGGCGAGCTATAAAAGAGGATGTCTGTCCAAGGTTGGAGGCCAGGCACTTTGGGCTAGCCTCACCTAACTTTTCATGATGACACATGGGTGATATGGGTTGGTTTTTAGCAGGTCAGGGTACGCCCAATTGCCCTCCTTTAAGCAAAATTTACTCGTATTTTGACTCCCAGTGACTATGAAGTCCAATATATTAGTTTGGTTTTCTATAGAATTATTCAACAGTTTTCACCTGTACATAATGTTCCATTACACCCAATGTAATTACAACATTTTTAATTACATTATTACAACACTGCATCACAGTAACAATTGTAAAACTAACGTTCGGTTACGTTATGTGTGTGTGCATGTTCTGAGAGGGAGAGCGAGGAAAGAAAGCAGAAACACCTGGGCAAAGCTGATTATTCCATCTAGCATGTTGATGCAAAATTAGTGCATTTCCATTTTCAATTATGTGTAATCATCATCTACTTTCAAAAGTAATAATACTGTAGGAAAGTGTATTAATTATCAGTTCTATTTTGGTAATTGTAGATCAATTTGGATAAAACAATCAATCTCCATTCTTGTTTTTGGTTGTATTTCATGATAAAATTATACTTTACAGTATTTCCAAATTCAGTTAGGTCTTGTCATGTTCAATTTTCACTAATAATACTGTAGGAAAATGTCTTATATTTTATTTGTAAATTGTAGGTCAATTTATGTAACATTTGACTTAAATTTGATTTAATATCTTCAGTATTTAAAATATATATACAGTGGAACCTCGATTAACGAAATTAATCCGTTCCGGCACCTAGCTCGTCATGTGAAACGCTCGACTTTCGAAACGAATTTCCCCATTTAAAATAATGGAAATAAAATTAATCCGTTCTACCACTGAAAAACATCAATATGATATTCGATTTTTTAAATAATGGAGCAGCCTACCTGACATACACTGAACAAACCAACCTTTATGATACTATCTTTTTTTAAGACAAGTGTCATAAGTACAATTTTTTATATTTTTCACTTTTTTATAGAAAAAAGTTTGTTCAGTGAATGTCAGTCAGGTAGCCTGCTCCAATTTTGTATATTTAAAATGAACAAATTTGAAAAAAGAAGAAATGTCATAAAGGTTTGTTCAGTGTTTGTCAGGTAGGATGCTCCATTATGAGATTTTTTCCTGTTTTCAAATTTGTTCAATTTGTTTTGCATTTGTCATATTTTTTATTAATGATGGAGCAGCCTACCTGACATACACTGAACAATCCTTTATGACATTTGTCTTGTTTCAAATTCGTTCAATTTTTTTTGTTTCTTTGTTTTTTGGAAATGGAGCAGCCTACCTGACAATCACTGAACGAACCTTTATGACTTTTATTTTCAAATTCTTTCATTTGATTTTAATTTTTCACTTTTTTTTTAGAAAATGTAGCAGCCTACCTGATATTCAGTGAATGAACATATTTGACATTTGTTCATTTTTGAAATTTTTTCGATTTTCTTTTCTAATTTTGTCTAAAAAACAAAAATCAATACTTTGCAACATTACAGCAGTCACCTTCTTTACATCCCACCATTATTAGCATCTTTAAAACAAAAACAAAAAACAGTTATTTGCATTGTTGGAGGTGTCTGAGAATTTGCGAGAACCAGCGGGAACGCACCATGTGGTTTTCTCAATCAAACGAATGCTTGCGAATTATATTATATTTATATATATTTATTTATTTATTAATTTATACACATGTGAATTTCAAGGGTTGTACCATGTTTGAACATCTAAGGGAATTTGAATAAGGTTTGAACATCTAAGGGAATTTGAATAAGGTTTGAACATCTAAGGGAATTTGAATAAGGTTTGAACATCTAAGGGAATTTGAATAAGGTTTGAACATCCTAGGGAATTTGAATAAGGTTTGAACGATCTAAGGGAAACATCTTAATATCTTCAAAGCTTTGAATATCAAATTAATACCTATTTTACATAAAAAACAGCATTAAATGTAATGAAAAGCCTTTTTCTGGTAGAGCCCCATTGGCTCCATGAAGCAATTTGTTTTGAGTGTATCTTGCAAAGTATGTTGGCAGTTTCAATGTTTCGTTTTTGTAAACCATGCAATTGTTTGTATTGTTCGCCTCCTTTCTTGATATTTTCTTGGTGTGGGGTAATCATAACATTCCTCAGCTCTCTCTCTCTCTCTCTGCCTTTATGAAGTGACCGAGTTCTTGCTTTGGTCTCCGGTACGCTATGACTGATGTCCTATGACTGATGTGACTCGGTAGTGGGAAGCTATCTCAGCGATACAGCTTCAGGAAGCCACCAAGGAGCTCCTTCCAGAAAATGCACTGTCAAACCAGTAATGAATATCATTACAATAAATTAAATGCTTAATTTGTTTCTCCAATTCTTCAAGTTTTTTCTCTTTCCCCTTCTTGCTTTGTCCTGGGATTAAAATTGCTTGCCATCCTTTATGCACCACTGATAAAATCTCTGAAAAATATGGAAAATTAATAACATATTTTAATTAATAATATTGATGACAATGATGATACTACTGTACTTGTAAACCCTATCAAAGACATAAGCTTTAATTATGATTTACATGAAAAATGTTTAATTTTCATGCTGAAATCAAGATGTAGTTTTATTTTGTATTGCAGTATTTTGAAGTGTCAATTTTTTTTTAATTGCAGGACTTTTTTTTTTAGTTTAGACTACATTAAGTGGAATGAAACACACTATTCTGAGCAGCAGCAGCACCACTGTAGCTAACCTTTGCCTTGACATTGAATCTCCAGAAGGATACTAACAGTGTATAAGGTTCCGAGCACCAAGCCATTCCCCGAAGAACATTTACTATTTAAAATTGTCTTGCCAACCAAACCAAACAAGCTGGGAGATCACAAGGAATCATACCACATCCTTCCAAAGGTAACTGCACCCTATGACACACTAAAATTTCACAACAATCAAATCTCTCTCTTCGAACTAACTAATCTTATTTATTTCTCTCTTCCACTCTCTCTCTATTACCTGACTTCATTTGGTCTAGGATGGACTGAAATGTTGTCGTTCCCTCATTTTCTGAAGTGTGGTTTGGTCGTCTCAAGAATCAATTGGTAGCTCAAGAACTTTCAATAATTAATCAGAAACAACCAAAGTGCTACCATATGTAGCACTATTGTGCAAAAAGGTTGAAAGAGGGTCAAGAGAAACCCTATATAAATACAGTACCTCCCACCCAAGCAAGGTTGGGTAAGAAAGGACTCAATGAGCAGGAAAATAGGGAACTATAAAGGTGCTGCCAGACATGCTATTGTATTTATAAGCAAGATTTCCTAGGTAGTTCAACTGTAGTTCTATTTCCACATCACCACCACATAATAACATGGATAAATATAGGTAGTCACTGTGTAAATGATAATACATACAGTATGTGACAAGTAAAAGATTTAAGTGTTGATATAGAATGCAATATACAGTATACATGTTGCTGATGCAAGTGTTCATAAATAATCATTTAAATATTTACAAGAAAATATCATGGATTTTGTAAACATTTTAGGGCATAAATGGTACATTCCTGCACACAAAAATACTTAAGAGATCAAAACTAAGGTTGGAGGGAGGGAGGGAGATGAGAGAATATAGGAAGGATGTGGTTTGCTAAGGTGTTACATCATGATACACACAAATATGGGAGGATGGGGGAATAAAAACTATAAAAGTCAATTGGCACTGCTTGTGATTCTATCCTTCCTGTCTGCTAGCCTGTTTTCCTTCATTCATATCTGGCCTGACCTGGCCTGCCTGCTGGGAACACACTGGTGTAAAAGTTCACCAATAACACTTTAGTGTTTCAATGACACTACAATGCATTTAATGATATCTAAATTTATATAAAACAAAAATTTCTTTTCTTTTTAGCATTTGAGCAATGTGGACAAAGCTTGACAGGTAAAACTTACCATTACGAGATCACCTCAACAAACCACCCCATCACTCTCGAGACTGATTGTTCTGCTTGTGCATATTCTCTCTCTTCTTTGCAATTTACATTATGGATAAGTATGAAAGTTATGTGTATTTTCTTTCTACAGCTGTATCTAGACTAATCATGTGTGCACTTGCCATATTTTTTTGCCATAGGTACATTAAATTACAATACCATTTTTCCATTGACATAACTATAGACTCTTTCACACACACTATGTACATGATTATGCTTCCTAATACACACTCAGAAATACTAGTGGGTATGATAATCCTAGAAGCTCACAGGACAGTGCTGGCATATCTTGAGGTTATCTCGAGATGATTTCAGGGCTTAGTGTCCCCGTGGCCCGGTCCTCGACCAGGCCTCCTTTTTGTTACACATCCAAGGAAGCAGCCTGTAGCAGCAGTCTAACTCCCAAGTACCTATTTACTGCTAGGTGAACCTCATCAGGGTGAAAGAAACTCTGCCAATTTGTTTCTGCCTCCGCCAAGGATCAAACCTGGAACCTTAGGACTACGAATCCTGTGCGCTGTCCATTTACCGTCAGGCCCCCCTCAGATCAGGCATGGGCACAATTCAGCACACAGCCTACAAAGATGGCTCTGGCACGTGACCTGAGAAACGGCTCTGGCATGTGGCCTGAGAAGCTGGCTCTGACACGTGGCCTGAGAAGCTGGCTCTGGAACATGGCCTGATAAGCTGGCTCTGACACGTGGCCTGAGAAGCTAGCTCTGGAACATGGCCTGATAAGCTGGCTCTGACACGTGGCCTGAGAAGCTAGCTCTGGAACATGGCCTGATAAGCTGGCTCTGGTGCATGGCCTGAGAAGCTAGCTCTGGAACATGGCCTGATAAGCTGGCTCTGACACGTGGCCTGAGAAGCTAGCTCTAGAACATGGCCTGAGAAGCTAGCTCTGGTGCATGGCCTGATAAGCTGGCTCTGGTGCATGGCCTGAGAACCTGGCTCTGGCGCATGGCCTGATAAGCTGGCTCTGGAGCGTGGCCTGAGAACCTGGCTCTGGCGCGTGGCCCAAGAAATTGTCTCTAGCATGCGGTCCAATAATGTGGCTTGGGCATACAGCCTAAGAACCCAGCTTTGGCACAAAAACCTAACTCATACAAGGGAGCTCTGGAATCTGGCTCTGGCATTCGATTTGGGAGCCCAGATCAGAAACTAGTCTGGGAATCCTGCTCGAGTACACAGTCTGGAAACTCAGGTTGGGCACATGAACACGGTAATATCTGGCTTGTTAGTGAAAAGCAAATTGACAAGATTATGGGTGGCCTGAGCTGGCAGCTGAGGGCAATTATATAAGGGTTATCTATTTGTTGCTATCATTGGCATTATTTACTTTCATTATTTTCTAATGGTTTTTGTTGTTTTCACCTATGACTTTCTAGATAATTCTTGTTATTTGTGGATTGATCCATAAAGCGCCACATGTTCCTCTCGCCTCAGAAATCTAAATTCTAGTCCTGGTTGCTACCAGACATGCAAGTCTCAGGAACCTGATATGAATGGGAGATAATATGAAACCAGTTCCCTAAAGTTATAGGAAGCTACTCAGGAGGCCACCATAAAACAGTATGAAATTATTAAGCTCTATACCTAGGAATCAAAGACTTTGAAGGTACAGTCCAACATTTAACAGTAGCAAAATGTTAATATCAAAAGATAATGCAAATATAAACAAATTATACTGTTACCTTATAACTGCTTCAAACTCAGGTGCTCTGGATATGTGATTGTGACCATAACCAAATTTAGCATCAAATTGAATAAACTTGAGTGGTAAACCTTCTCTAAGTTGTCTCTGCTGTGCTGCTCTCTCAAGCTGAAAATTAAGTGCAAAGAGAACTTTCAATATTTAATTCATGCTAGAAAGTGAACAATTTAAAAAAAAAAAAAAGAGTGGGAAAAGCCTTAGTTAACTTTTAATGCAGAATCTTAGAAAACAAATTCTGTGCAATTCCTGTTCGGTAGCTGCTTTGAGGTAAAACACTGGGTTTACATTAATCACTGCTAGCACACAGAGCAGGGTGATTTTGAACCTCACTGATACACAGTAATGATGCAAATAATTTTGTCTTAATGGAGAGCATTTCTCAATTCCCCCACAAAGAGAAACTGCCTACTATAAGACCAAAGGGTATCACAAACCACAAGATCCTCTGTGTAGAATCTTTGGACCATGTAAGATAGTCAAATGTCACTCTGAAACTATGCAATTATCAACTACCCATTTGCCCCAACTGTCAGCAGATGGTAGCACCAACTAGACTACAGGTTTAAGGGAGGTGGCTAGTTTCACTTTGTGCCTGGTGTAGGTCTCTGTGAGCAAAATCAACCCTGCAGAGCCTGATGAAGTTTTGCCTGTTTTTGCATAGGTGGTTCATGCTTAAATGTTCAGTTTATGGTATGGTGCCTAGCCGCCTCTTTATTCAGATCACTTCACTGGGGTTACTATTTTAACTAAAACAAACACACACACAACACACAAGTGATTGATTCATGCATGCTATCATGTGGATGACTAAGTATAGAACTTTTTCCAGGTTTTTGTTTGAGAGTTGTAAATGTGCCCTCCCTTAAAAAAAAAACAAAAAAAAAACCATCTCTCTTATTTTTTAGTACAGTGCGAACTTGCTCAGACAAACTACGAGGAGCAAAGTCATTTGGGAGCAACTCTGTGTCAAAATTATATATATATGAAAATTATTTACAGTGCACACTTAATATAACAATACATACAAGTCTCATCTCTATGTAAAAAAAATTCCATAGAGCAACTACTGTACTGGTAAAGAATTTGGTGATAAAAGCTACATATATACAATCATTATTAAGGCCCAGCAATGAATATAATGAAATGCCTCTTTCTTGTAGAGCCCTTGTGGCTCTCTAATCTATCTCACCGAGATGGCTTCGCACTACTGAGTCACATCAGACACCCAGTTTGACCTACTGGGGGACCAAAGCCAGGACCTCCCCCCCCATCCTAACAAAGGTGCAAAGAGCAGGGAATTATTATAATCACCCTCACCGGGAAAGCAGCCATAAAGTCAGCGGAGTAATACAGATCACTTCAAGGTTCATAGAAATTGAAGGATAAAAAAAGCCAAACAACTCTTCATTCATTCAAAACAATTGGATCACTCAAAACTAGCTTGAACCTGTTAGTGCCGATGGTTGCTATGAAGTGGCCTAGAGCTCCTGACCAACAGCTGGCTGCTGGTCCGCACAGAGTTGATGTACAATAAACTGATGAACCTGATAGGGAGGGAAGGAGTCAAGGAACCAACAGGGATCAACCAAAATGAGATGTTTCAATACAGTCAGTGCTGATTTTCTGGGGGAGTCCCTTGGTGGCTCCTTAAAGCTAACTAGCCACAGAGAAAGAGGCAAACATGAAACTTACCAAGGAGAATGACAGACAACAGATACTAGATTAAAGATGATATGATGGGCTGGGAAACACAGCCCAGTGGAACACATGACCAACCGAGACCATGAATACTAACGAAAGGGCTGCCCTAAATACATGCAGCTCGTTGTGAATAGATAGATCAAGTCCACTCAAGAAGTGAGGCTTATAAACACATGCACATAAAGCAAGTATTAAAAGTTAGTAACATCACACAAGAAAATGGCCCCCACAGGACAAAGTCTACAGGATGGCCATCACTTATCTTTGAAAAGAAGTGGGACTTGCCTAAGGCCTGTGACTTGGGAAGGTCTGATTTTTCGGATACCAGTGACAGGACTGCCTGTCAGCCAGAGCGGAAGCCTGGAGCTCCCATGGCACCACCTGTTGACTGCCATTTGCACTAGAGGGATTAAAGCTAGTTTTAAGTGAATCATTTGGAATCGAGTGAATCAGCTGTGGAGTCATTTGTCTGTTTCAGTGCTTTGTTTTTATGTAAATCTTGCAGTTGTTTATATATATATTGCTTCGTTTACTTTCTAGATGCTTTCTCAGTGTTGGTGAATGTAAGACTCCCTAGCACCCCCCAACTGTGAGGGGAGGGGAAGGGGGAGGGGTCAGGTTTTGGCTTTAGTCCCAGTAGGCCAAACAGGATTCCTTTGGCTGATGTGACTCAATAGGGGAAAGCCATCTCAGCAAGATAGCTTCAGGAAGCCACAAGAGGCTCCTCCAGAAAATGGGATTCTTGTGATATTGATTCCGTACATGACATATAGGGAAATAAAGGAAATTGGTTTAATGTATACTGTACAGATAATAAGGTAATAAAAGTTCCAGGGGAAAGCTAGTATGGTAAGGCCTAACATGAGCTACGGAAAGAGAAAGCTCAATACCTACTAACATAAATCAACAGTCATCTACTCCTGTACCCACCTGTGTAAAAAAAAAAAAGTAAACAAAAATTACAAAGTACTTATATACCTTGCGTCCAAGCTCAATAGGCACAATATTATCATCATGAGCATGAAGAATGACAATTGGGCAAGTAATGTGGACAATATGTTTATCACTCTGGAATTCGGCTCCAATTTTTCTCAGAGGATCTATGAAAGCCCAGTCAAAATATGGCAAGTGGAGAAAGACCTGTGGATAAACAAGTAACATTACATTACAGTACTTATAAAATACAGAAGAAACATTTTTGTAATTATTTATTTATTAATTTAGTAGAGATAAAAACATCCATAGTATTTAGTGACTCAGATTGATGTTATATTTATCCTTATATTTATTACAATAATATGGATTAAAGTAACTTCATATATCTGCAGATAAATGAAGCACAAAATCCACTTTTTGTAACAAAGTAAAAATGCATTTTAAAATAAATGATATGCATGAGGAAGGAAAATTCAAGTCATATAATAAAATAGTGTTGAGAATAAAGTACTATAAAGTACATGAAAGTAGGCTTTCTGAAGATCCAGAGATATAAACTAAATATTGCTTAAAACAACCTGGTGAACCTAGGACATGATAGTCATCTGGAATGTGGGAAACACAGACAGGTCCAGAATGAAGCAAGGCTTCAAGGTAACTTGCTTGGGGACATGGAAGAAGACGCACCTTCTGCAAGGATGGGATCATCACAAGCACACCCTTCTCCAAAGAAATGCAAATGATGTGACAGCAAGAGGAAGAAAGAGCTGAGTAGGTCCATTCGACACTAGAGGAAGGAGGAAGACCAAATTTACTGTAATAAAAGCTTTTGCACACCATACAATTCCATCAAGTTTGTTCAGCATAATTTTTCTTTACGAGTCCATGTTGTGCCTTAGTTACAAAATTTACTCTCTCCAAATGTTCAACTTTTTCTTGATGACTTTTTACGGCATTCTGCGTGGAATGCATGTTAGTTACACTGGTCTGTAGATTAGTGCTTCATGTCTGTCCCTTTCCTTAAACATTGGAAGTAAATTTGCCCTTTTCCAGATTCCCAGAACCTCTCCTCTCAGTAGTGTTATGTTGAAACCCATAGTTAATGGATAACTGTAGCTTCTTTCAGGTTGGATGCTACTTTTGCTACATCCAGTTCCTCCTGATGTCTTTTTACCTCTTCTACAATAGCATTCGACACCAAGTTAGTTTCAGTTTGTAGACCTGAGACCTCTTAGCAAGTTCCTCTCACAATTCTTTGCCATTCTTAAAGTGTGTTTGTCCTTGTCTCCACCAACATGTCAATTTTCTCTATACAGTACAGGCATACCTCAGAATAAGAGTTTAATCCGTTCCTGGAGACGCCTCGCCTTCCGAAAACTCGCATTCCGAAGTTAATTTCCCCATAAGAAATAAAGGGAAATGAATTAATCCATTCCTGACTACCAAAAAACCCCACATCAAACTAAATTTTTATACCTAATTTACCTAATTCATCTAAATAAACCTACAAAACTGTGTTCCAGTTATTACTTACCTTGCTGTCGAGTGCTGTAGGCGTATGGAAGATGGTGAGGAGGGGGGAGGAGGAGAGGAGTTACTGTTTGGAAGGGGAGTCCCCTTCCATAATCACATCACATAACCCCATGCCTTGTAACACTATGGATACCACTTCTCTTTCTAAATTTTTCAAACCAGCCCCTGCTTGCCTTAAACTCTTTCTTATCTGCATCACTCATTGCAGGGGTATTCTTTAGAAGGTCTTCGTGCAACACCCTGGCTTTCTCACAAATAATGGCCTCCGAAACACTATCACCCCTCAACTCCTTGTCGTGTATCCAAATTAATAACAACTTTTCCACTTCTTCAAGTATTTGTGGTCTTTGTGCCGTTAATGTTCTTACTCATTTTGCCACTTTAGCACCCATAATCTTATTTTTCTTCTTAAGTATAGTGCATATTGTTGATGTGGCTTTGTTGTACTGCCTACAAAGTTCAACAACACGTGTACCGTTCTCATGCTTCCGAATGATCTCTTGTTTCTCCTCTATTGTCATCCTCACATGAGCTTTCTGGCCTTTATCCTTACCACTGGCTTTCTTGGGACCCATGGTGAGATATATAATAACAAATTGTATAGACAAATCACCAAAAATCCAACAAAACACTGAAAATCCGCGAGAAGAATTGATGTGGGGGTAGTCACTGAGCGCGAGACAATAATAAACTGAGGGGCGGCGGGGCGGAGGGGCGACGAACGCGCTAGGTCGGCTGTACGCGTATCAACAAACTCGCGTCCAAACTCGCCTCCCGAAGTAACCCTCGCCTTCTGAGACAAATTTTTGGAGTAAATACACCTCGCCTTCCGAAAACCTCGCATACAGGGACAATCGCATTCCGAGGTACCACTGTATATGACTGCATCACCTTAATTTAGGCTGGTTGTGTGTTTCATCACAATATAATTTTCAAACTGCCGCTCCATTGTCCTCCTAATTGGTGTACTAATTTCTGACCCTCGTAAGTACCTCCCTATTTGCACCTGTACTGTACTGTACTTATGTCCCTATATTTTTTCCAGCATGTTTGTCCTCTCCTTTTACTCATTACACTGTTGAACCAACAGTTGCTTTTTCCCTTTGTAGCTACTTCTCTCCTGAGAAGTATGAACTGGTCTGTTGTTTATATGTATTTCTTCATTACAAATTCTGTTATTTCATTCACCGATTTTCATTCCATTTCAGTCTCCTGTTGAACATTTTGCAGATGTGCCCTAGTCATCTTGTAGTTCTCTCAATTCTGTAATCTATCGCACTCTCTACTCTGTTTCTGGATTCAATTCCATCTTTAAGTTCTACAATGTTATCAAACACAGTAAAGCAGTGGTCACTGGCTTGTAGTGGCACCTTATTTTTTAAGTTCGCTACATCATATTCATTTTAGGTGATTACCAGGTCTATGGTAACTGGTGGAGCCCCTGCCCCTTGCTCTCGTAGGATGTCTAATATGTTGTCACAGGAAGCGTTTGTCCACTGTTTTCACTACCCTTGTTCTCTGTTACATCTTCCCTAGTCTACTTCTCCATGATTGAAATCCCCAAGTACTGTCAGCCAGGTGTGAGACACCATGAATACTGGCATGGCATTCTTCATTTCTTTGGTGTTTTATTACTTTGAATATAAATTCAAATGTAAGTAAAATTCGAAAGTGTTGTTGTTCATACCAGTCTTAACTGTGGAAACATTTTCTACAAAGAAGTTCTTAATAAAGTGACAGATGTGTATTGGTTGATGACATTTGTTCAATAAAAATACAATCCTTATGAATATAATAAAAATTATATAAATTAAATATTTGAAAACCAAGTTTGAAAAATGTTATTAGTTTTAGTGAGGAGACTCGTGCAGCATATGTATCCAAGAAATATTATATACACCTACCCGAGATAAAGGATTAAGTAACACTTCATCATGAAGATTATTAAATGGTGCTTCAAGTACCAACCCTCGTGGGCATTTATTCTCTCTGCACAGTTCTGATACTGCATGACATGACACGCTGAGGGAGGAGAAGATGCTAACTATAGATAAAACACAGATAATGACACCCACCAAAGACCGACTTAACATGCACATGTATTAAAAAATATTAATGTGTGTTTGTGTTTATATGTTTAAGCATTTTCAATAAAATTCCCAAATTCATTAATTTTTGTACTATTATTAGAAAAGTTATAATAATATTAAAATAATGTAAATTTGAATTTTATCTGAGCTTTCCAATAATACCAAACAAGTGACTTTGCAATAATACTTGTCTGCACATATAAGAACTAGATACCTAGTATTTAATGTAATGAAATGCCTTTTTCTAGACAAGCTCTGGTGGGTCCCTTAAGCTATTTCACTGAGATTGCTCCATGCAAATAGGTCACATCAGATGCTGGAGTTCTGTTTGGCCTACTGGGGACCAGAGCCAAAACCTGGCCCACTCATCACAGAAGGACAGCTGTCTGAAAGCTTCTGCATTGTAAACTAAATCAGTCTATATGGAGACCCAGTGGGAACAAACCACACAGGACTCAGGGCTGTAGGTGTCACTAACCCAACAGGTAGCATGTCAGATGCAGAAAGAATGACCATAGTCTGGTAGCAAAGATGATGAGCACCCTTCAAATTTACACATGGCAAGTGCAGGCTTGGAGGACCAAACCAAAACCAAGCCAAAGACCTGGGAGAGGATTACCAAGGCCTGAATGTAGCTAGCCAAGCAGGATACCCAGACACTGAGACCACTCACCAGACGACAGATGCCAAGTGCAGCTAAAACATCATTGCTATGCCTGGCAACTGTGGTATACCGTATAAACAAACACACAAACCCCAGTGTGCCCTGGCCAAACCAACATAATGCCCCCAGCCATGGGTCCAAACAGAGAAGATCAAAGACTCTTGAATAACCCTAAGAGCCCAGTGACCTGGCCTCTCAGCAGCAAACTCCCAAACACACAAGAAAAGATGTCTTTGTCAGTACAAAACCACGCCCACACAATAAGCTGGATAGAAAATATGCACACAAAGCAAAAACTAAAATATAAAACAGAGAACAATGCAAATGGGCCCCACAGGAACAAGTCCAAGGATGGCAACACTTAGCTTGGAAGCTAAGGTTTTTGAGGTTTTGGTCTTCATTAATCCTTCAGTTGACTGTAAAGCTTCACTGACTTTCTGGATGTTTTCCTGGAGTGGTGGTGAATTGTTACTTGCTCTTTGAATCTCTGTGAGGGGGAACAGGTTTTGGCACCAGTCCCTGGTAGGCCAAACAGATATCCTTCATTCGATGTGACCCATCTGCATGGCGCAACTTCAAACAAGATAGCAAGTTAGTCAGCTTGTTTTGGGGTTGCATCCTCGGGGTCAGTAATTCGACCCTGGGGGAAGACCTCGATATAAGCCTAACATGTACTGTATGTATAAACTGGCTGCCTCTTCCCTGACACAATGAATTGCTAATTATTATCAATTTAAACTTACCCAGTACCAAGTGAGTGACCCCAGACAAAAATTGGGGATGTACCAGCATTCTCAAGGAGGTAATTAAAGATAACCTTTCCATCCATTACCAAACCTTCTTCACTTGGGTCAACAGCTGATGAATCTGCATAGCCTGCAAACATTACACAAAGATGTCTTAAGGCAAGAAGAGATACACTACTTCCCCACAAACTCAACCCCTCTTTCCACCCCCAGACACACACACAACTTTTCCATCCTCCCCATTCACACACAAGTCCTTTTCCTGCCCCCATCCTCCCCCTCTAAACACACAGCCACTATTTCCAGCCCCCCCCCCCCACCCCTTCCATACACACACAACCCCTCTTTCCATCCCCCAAAATACACACACACAACCCCTCTTTCCTTCCCCCCATGTAAACACAACCCTTATTTCCAGCCCCCAATACACACACACACACTACAAAAGATGCAAAGGCATGCTACTAAATGGCATCCAGATATAAAAAAACCAAGAGCTACTAGGAAAGCCTAGAGGCATTAAATATGCAAAAGCATGTAGAAAGAAGAAAACAAGAGTTTTCCTCTGAGGACAAGAATTGCTAACAAGAATTTCTGCAGATTAGGCTGGCTGGAACTATTATATCAGGCTCAAGTGTTAAAAATGTTTTGAACTTTGTTAAATAATATGATTACCACACCCTAAATTGGGACAGAAATCGACCGAGCTGATGAGGAGGAATTTTTAAAACCTGCAACGTCTAGAACAAGGGGTCCACAAACTGAAGCTTAGAAAGCTTAATTGCCAAAAAACCACTGTTAAATGTAATGAAACGCCATTTTCTGGGTGAGACCCGGAGGCTCCCCGGAGCTATCCAGGCTGATATGTTACTATTAGCTTTCTGGCATCAGTCAAAGTGCATGGAGTTCTTGCCTACCGGGGACCACGAGCCAGAACCTGGCCCTCTCAGAGAGGCACAAGGAGCAATGGCCTATAGAAACCCCCCGTGTGGTTGGAAGCATTCTATGTCTGCCATCAACCGGGTCTGGCACCCAGAAAGGTAGGCGCCCTAAAACAAACCCCTATTCTGGTGAAAACATTGCTACCGAAAGCAGAACGAGTGGACAGAACTCCCCAAATGAAAACTAACAACTAGCATGATGTCATCACGTCACCGCGCCGACGTCTACACATCCCTCCTCCCCGGAAGGGGAAAGGGGGAGCCCCAGACAACCACGCCAGCGATCCAACATCCAGTTTTTAGGCTGGATGTCAAAAACACGCTAAAACACCCCTGACCGGAGGGAGGGATGGATGCCGGGGGAGCCTTCGGGTCTTTATCAAATTGATCTCGGTAAAATAAGTAATTTGAGTGTAAAGTGGCAAATGAAATGCAACGTGGATAAATGCCGGATTATGGAATGTGGATTCGGAGAAAATAGACCATACACAACTTACAAATTATGTGGAATGGAATTACAGAAATCTAATAAAGAACGAGACCTAGGGGTGGTTTTGGATAGTAAGCTGTCACCAGAGGAATACATAAAGAACTTTGTGAGAGTAGAGTATGCATTGCTTTCGAACTTCAGACTTCCTTTTAATTATATGGATAGTGAAATGCTAAAGAAACTGTTCATGACTTATGTGAGACCAAAATTTTAATATGCAGCAGTTGTATGGTGACCAAATCTCAAGAAGCACAAAGAAACTGGAGCAGCGACATGCTACAAAATGGATTCTGGAATTAAAAAAACTGAGTTACGAGGAGAGACCACAGACATTAAACATGCCTGAACTAGAAGATAGAAGAAAAAGAGGTGATATGATCACCACATACAAAAATCTAACAGGAATCGACCAATGCTTCTTTTCACTGGATTACTAAGAAATATCCAAATCCAAGAAAAAAATGATCATCCATTTGTCTTTAAAACCAGTGAGTTTTTGGAAAAATATTTATTCAGTTAGTTTATTTTTAATTTACAATTTAAATAGTGCATGATTACAGTATCTTCAAGAATGTGCAATATTTCCTGTTATAAATAATTCAACAAAGACAATTCACTCTGGGAGGGATAACTTTACTAAGTACAGTATGTTGAAAGTAATTTTAATTTTTTGTAATAAAATAAGTTTTTCATATTTATCTCTCACTTGCATGATGTCACTACATGCCAATTTTACAAAATGAAAGTTAAAATGAAACTTAAGACTTGACTTTTATTGAAAGATTAACATACCAGAATTTCAAGGCCAGTAAGTTCTCAAAATTTACAAATTTATTTTTTTATAATGTCAAATGCAGAGATGTTCCAACTACAGCACTTCATGAGATGATTTTTGCAGACTACAATGAAATTATTACATCAGGCTCAATGTTAAAAATGTTTGGAACTTAGTTAAATAATACTGAAAAATGAAGTGCTACCAATTTGAGTGCAGTCAAAAAAATATATCCAGCTAAAGAGTACCACATACCTCTATAATCGAAGGTGATAATATGGTAATCCATTTGACGAAGGACATTATACATTTCTATTCTGTGCTTCTCTCCTCTGGAACCTTTATTACCATGTAAATAAAGAATAATTGGGTCACCATTTTTCAAGCTTTTCTCGAACCATGCGTCACGTTCATCAGATTTTACTTCAGGAGCAGAGTGAACCAGAGAGAGTGGCAAGATGTGCCTAAGGATAAAATTTAGATATACCTGTACTGTATGTAACAAAATGTAATACACAATTCTTGTTCTGAAATAGACATAATTTGTGATAATAATGCAAACAATGCAAAACCACTTGAATGGTGTTGCATTGTTCTAGCCAATTTGAACTAGACTTCATCTGCTGCAAAACAAGTTCCAATGCATACCAAAAATACAAAATATATTTATCAATTACAGTACATATCTGACCATACAACTAACCCCTCTAAAACCCTCTCACCACCTTTGATTTTTCACCCTTCTCATATCTACTCTTCTCATTAGTTGTGTCTCACACCTAACATCATTTATGCAATTTTATTTAAATTTTTTTGTGCTGCCCTTCTCATTTAATTTACATTAAAAGTGGCCTCTGCTGCTGTTTTGCTTGGTTTTCCCTCCACCCCCAAAACAGCTGTTGGCTGGTAACAAACGAAGAACTGCCGTATCACAGGAGGGACTGGCATTCATTTTTCTTACTGAAAGGCAAGAATAGTATGCTTCTCTGGAATCCAGAAAATCATGTTTGTCAGCACACTAAAAGGGCCTTTTCATAATTTTTAAATACTTTTCAAAAGTATATAACTAATGCTAACTTATTCTGCGCATTATGTAAAGTACTGCACTTGTCAAGTCACTTCATTTCCAATCTTTGACAGGCTCTTTACACTATTACTGTTAATATAAAGCTTCAGCAGAGCCATGTGATCATAATGACATGGAAGAATGAGCTTAACAAAATAAATGCATCTACTACCATGAAGGGGAGAATTTCAGAAAATACTCACCACATTCCAACAGAAACATCTTTATCAGTTGTCAGATAAAAATTCCGGGTTCCAAGTAGACCAAGAAGTTCAGGTCTGGAGAAATCTACATGGCTGGCAACTAGAATGGAAAAATGAATAATTATCCATATGAAAATATACGATACTAAATATTTTAAATATAATATTTGGAACCAATAAAGAAGTAAAAACAAAAATATACAATGCCTAGATATCATAAAGATATTATATATTATAAAGAACTTACTATTATCATAAAGAACTTACAGTACCTTTAAACATATACAAAAAAATTTCAAAATTTTACAATACGTACATGTATAGTATATGGAAGATAAGGAATATATGAAATCCATGTCAGTAATTATATAGGTTAATCCTTAAAGTGCAGTTATCATTTATCATCATACATTGATTCACAGGGTAATGAGGTTATCATCTACATTGATTTAAACTGTTATTGTTGGGATTTTACATAAATGACGCTACTATGGATATAATGTCAATATGGATGTAGTGTTTACCTGGATACTTTAAAAAAAATCCTATGATTGTTTAATAAATAAATATGGTTATCATAAATGTTACTATGCAAACGAGGTTATCGCCATACTGTACAGGTACCTGCAACTTCTGCAATAATGCACTTTCCTTAGCAGCAGATCTATATTCTGGTTTTCTATCTTGCACTCTTCATACACCAGCAAAACAAATAATGTTCACAATGCCCTTCTTCCATCACTTCCACCTATTCAATTTTCTTCACCTACAAATACTTTAATTCTTAACAGTTAACATTCTCCCATGATAGTCTTTACCATTGCCACCAGTCTCCTTGTCGTACTTCCTTACTGATGGGAGAGTGGAAAAAATCCCATGCAACAATATCACAGTTTTAAATTCCATTCTACAGAATTTCAGTATGCATTAATAGCATGAAACAATGAAACTTATGTACCTGTGTGGAGAAACACAATGAAGCGTTGCAGTCCAGGTGAGTAGTGAAAGACAAGGGGCAGCAATACCCAAACAGTAAAAAATGTGATGACAATAAAAACCCCAGTTGACCTCAAGATCCTGAAAGAAACAAAAAATTGTTAGCCTTTTCATTTTATAAAGGTGGTCAGACAGCAGTGATACAAGGCAAATGGTTTTTAAATGAGTGTGATGTAAATGACAGCAATATTACAACTGAATTTGCCAATTGTACATTAAGACGATGGTAATAAGCTTTGCAAAACAAAGATATATACGTCTCGATACCTTAATAACTTGAAAACAGCGCATCATGTTGAATAAAAGCCGTTTTCCGAGTGGTATCTCTGCAGCTTTCCTATACCTTTGCACTGGACCCCTCCCAGGCCATTGATAATGTCAGGCACTGAGCAAAAAAAAAAAAAAAAAAAAAAAAAAAAAAAAAAAAAAAAAAAAAAAAAAAAAAAAAAAAAATTAAAATCGTTTTTGATGAGGACAAGTAACCCTGCACTTTGTCTTTTCCATCAATTAAGGGGCTGGGAGCGCAAAGGTTGGTTCCCAGTGAATCTTTGATTGACAGCACACATCAATCCTCAACCAAGATAAATCACCTGCTGACATCTATAAGTACTATACTTCAAACCACTCTATATTCTTTCCAAAGATCTTTGGCAACTAAAAATCCAGCACTGAATGTAATGAAATGCCAATTTTTGGGCGAGCCCTGGGGGCTCCCTGAAGCCATACACTGAGATGGTTCCCCATCTACCATTTCACATCAGCTGTGGAGTTCTTAGGCCTACTGGGAACCAGAGGCAGAACCTGGCCCCCTTTTACAGAGGTGCAGAGAGAGGTGATATATTCACCTCAATGTGGAATGCATCTAGAAATTCAGCAAGTCAAAACAAACCACTGAAACACTACAACCAAGGGTCTTGCACCTTGTGTACTTTGTCTCCTCTCTCTGCCTCCCTCTTCTCTTGAGGCTTACTAGGCAGCTGTAGCTTATGGGTTTGATTTTCCAATTTGTCAGGTTGGCAGCATGGTACTCATTTGGATGCCCCGAGGTTGGCCTCTTTGTGTTGAGTATCGGAGCTGGAGCTCTTTGTTTATTCCACCTGGGCTCCATTCTGCACCTCCTCCTACTCCATTCCTGTGGTGTGGTATGCCCTGTGACTAGTCTGTTTCTTCCTGGTCCTGTCTCATTGTCCACAGGTTTTGGAGTCAGGGCAAGGTTATTTCACTGGGGCTGTAGCTTAGTCAGCTACAGGGTGGCCTCTACCCTTTTGACAGGAAAGATAATCGAATTGTCTCTTCCTACTGAGTGTGGAGTCTTCGCCTTCACAACCACTTCCTTCCTCTGCTCCCTCCCTCTCCACAAGATGACTCCTCCTTTGGAATTGGACAGTGAATGGCTCTGCCTCAGGGCCATCATGGCTGCCTTTCAGGGCTGGGAGGGGAGCCCATGGTGGGCCCGTAAATGGTTTTCTCCCCTATTGGCACTCTGTTCTTACTGTGGGGGATTTAGCTCCTGGGGGTGGTATTCCTTATCCCTCTCCCTTCATGGTGTCTCCTCTTTCCCCCACCCCTCCAAGGGTTTGATTCCATGTACAGTTTGGCACTTCAGTTTCACTTGTGAGCGTTTCCGTCACCCCACACTTCTCTGTTGGCATTGGTGGCCCACTCTGGGCCTGTTTCAGTACCTGTCACAGAATTGAACCCTCTTTCTCTGTTGACTGCATCAAACAGTCCCTGTTTGTCCTAGCTGGCTGACACACACTCCTTCGTTGAGGGTGGTTTGGGTTCTCTTGGACCCAGTCGCTTGCTTGGCAGGGCATGAGCTAAGTCTTCCTCATTCTTTTTTATGCTGCTTCATCACCACTAGTGGTCTGCCTGATTGGTCGGGCTTTCTGTGGGTTGGGGATCAGTGGCGGCTCCATGTACGGGTATTACTGAGGATATTTTGTTTATCTCGGGTCCCTACATTTGGTACAGGTTTGCTGGGATTGAGTGTGTGTTGTTGGGTTCAGTATTCCCGAGCCGAAGTTAAACCTTTTGGGGTCTGATGCCCTTTTGTTTTATCAGTTGTACTTCCTGTGTTGATACCTGGCATTTACATGGGAAAGATGGCTTTGTTGCTGTTGTGGCAGTGCAGCCATGGCATTGTTTTCTTTATGCCCTCTTTTGCATGGTGGCAACGACATTTTCCTCACCTTTTACAGATCTTAGTGTCCTTGGGAGTACATGGTGTGGAGGGCTGGGAGTCCTGCAGACAATGGTAGATTGTGTTCACTTTTCCCGGTTGTCACAGCTTTGTTCCACATCAGGTTGGAACTGTTGGATGTGGCAGTGATCTCCCAAGAGCTTTGGTTGTGCATGTTTGTAGCCCATTTCAAGCCAGTTGAACTTCAAGAGGTTGCACACATGTGACTGGGTCTCTGTTTTACTGGCATGTCAATCTGTTGTGTCCTGGGACTCATTTGTAAACCAGTTTTGCTGCATATTGAGGACTACAAGGACTCATGTCTCACTCATGATCTTTTGTTAGGTGGCACTGATTAAGCAAGGGAGTCAGCTGAGGCCTGGGGCTGGAATGCCTGGTAGTGGTAATTGGTACTAACGAGTTTCGACCTCTTTAAGTGAATCCCTTGCTTTGTGTGAATCGTTTGTAGAGTTACTTGGTGGTTTCAAGGCAGCTTTGTTTTCTGTGAACCCTTCAGTTGTCTGTAAAGCTTCACCACCTTCTAGAGGTTTTTCCGGTAGAGTGGTGGATTGTCACCCTGCTCCCTGCACCTCAGTAAGGGGAGGAGGGGGGCTGGTTCTTGCTGTGGTCCCTCATAGGCCAAACAGAACTTCCGCAACTGATGGGACTTTTTAGTATGGAGCAATCTCAGTAGGTCCCAGGAAGCCACCAGGGCTCCACTAGAAAGAGATGTTTCATCCTTTTTTTTTTTTTTTAGAAAAGCAGCTGGTGTTAGTACCAGGAACTGTGTATTGAGTAGGTACAGTATAGTAATGAGGAAGTATGTATCAGAGATTTGGAAAGAGGGAATAAAACATGAGGTTGTGGAGTGGGTGAAGCACAATACATTGAGGTAGAATGGACACATTAGTAGACAAGAGGGAAACATTTGTGTGGTAATAAGAACCTCCTGGAGAAACCTTTACTGTGACCTCTCTCTGAGGGAAAGCTACTGGGTGAAATAAGGCATTTGGGCAATAGGAAGGATTATGTTTGAGCATTGGGGTGAGCTTTGTTTCTATACATGTAGTGAATATTAACTTAACATTTACAAATTATTTAACCAACAGAAATTAATATTCGTTCTTTAATATGAAAATCTTTTGCTTATTGAAATTATAACACGTCATGTACATCAACCATACCTGTAAAATTGCCTGTGCTGTCCTAGACGAAAATGCCGTCGTCCCATCATAGATAATACTTTCATGGTGATTTACATCTGAAAAATTAACATACTATATATATTGCAAGTAACATTCATAATAGGCTTATTCAGAGGTGCCAAGGGATAGAAATCCTTAAGAGTGAAAATTCGAGCCCTTACAAGGGATACCACAGTGCACAAGCTAAGAAAGTGGCTATCCAAGCTCTAATCCATGTGCTTATTTTTAGATATATTATAACCTCATGACAATATATAATACTGTACATTGAATACATTAAATATTTATATTTACTAAAAATGCATGAAATAATTGTTTCAAAGTGGGATGGCATGTTAAGTTAATCTTCCTCTCAACTACTGTAGATATACACATTTGATTGTATGAGGGAGAGTGAGAAAAATACCCTTAGGCTCACTTACCTAGGGATACAAATAACCAGTGTTGAATGTAATGAAACAATGTAATGAACTCTTTCTGGTGGAGCTCCAGTGACACACTGAAGCCATCTCAGCACCACTACTGGGGTTTATATCAGTTGCACAAGTCCTGTTTGGCCTATCAGGGACCAGAGCCAAAACCTGGCTTTTCACAGAGAGGCAAAGATCAGGTGACTATCATCATCACTCGTACTGGGAAAGCATCCAGAAAGTCAGTGAAGCTTTATAGACAACTGTAGAGTCAGCAGAAAATGAAGCATCGAAATGGTTGTATGACTTCACAAACGATTCAGAAGGAACAATTGGTTCACTCTAAACTAGTTCAAACCTGTTAGTACCAACAACTGCCACCAAGCAACCAAGGGGACCACTTAAAATTTGGAAATCTATGTTCTCTACAATGCAGGCAGGAGATACATAATACTTTACACCTAAAAAATATACAGTATACAGTATATACTGTATATATTTTATATATACAGTACTATATATACAAGAGTTCTTACATTTTTGTACAGCCACTAGCAAGCATAGTGTTTTGGGCATGTGCTTAATCCTTATTTTCCCTGGAATACAACCCGCCAAATCGTTTAACAACCAGGTACTCATTTTACTGTTGGGTGAACAGAGGCTACAATTAAGGATTGGCACCCAGTAAATTCTCCCCAACCAGGATATGAACCCTGCTCATCAGTTCATTGTTCATCAGTTCTGGACTGACCATTAAAGCTGGCTGTGGGTTGGGGTTCCTTACCATACCTTGTGGTTACCTTGTGTTGGTTCCAAGGATCAACAATTCCACGGCCCTGGTCACTGATCAGGCCTCCTGGTTGGCAGTCTGGTCAACCATACTGTTTGGATCAGCTGCTCACAGCCTGATGTAAGAATCACTACCTGGTTGATCAGGTATCCTTTGCAGGTGGTTTATCAAGTTGCCTTTTGAACACTTAGAGGTTGACCAGTTATGCCATTTAGTTTAGTGGGAGTATTAAAATGTCTTGGCCCTTTGATGTTGATACTTCTCTCACATCATATCAATTTGGATGGTTGAATATGAATGTCTTATGGAAGTATAAAGACCCAGTGGGAATAAAGCTTGACATTTTCTGGTGATCCATAAGGTGGAGAAGGAGCAAGATGTCCACCAAATGTCAAGGCATAACCAGGAGTCAAAACAGGTGGTAACCATAGCCCTGCACAGAGGACCATCTGGAGAACTCTCTCAACACACAGTGACACCACACAATATCAATAATAATAAAAAAAAAGCACCATGCCATCCAGACTATAGTGTATAGGCATCATCTACTGTGAACCCTGGGTAGTCGAATGAAAGTCCTAGCTAAATGGCAGAACTGCAAAAGGCTCCTCTTTAACTCAAGGCACTGTTGAGCAAATATAAGGCACTGTCTTAAAAGTGACTTGTGGGGTAAGAGCCAGATGCCAAGCACACCCTGAGGGCACATTAGGCACATCACCTGCCTAATTTAAGTGGTTGATTTAAGTGGAAAACTTAAACAAACATATATATCAATTTAAATGTGGCCACAGGCGGTCCGTCTAATTACCAAAAACTACCACATGCTACACACGCTTCAGAAAACTTCCTGGCAATACGTTAGTAATGAATAAATATGATATATTTACTCATTACAATGTTGGTGCTGAACATACAACATGAAAAAACATAATTTTAATCCGAAAAAGTATCTTTTTATAAAGAAATTAGACGAAAATAAAAAGCTGGTGACGCCAAATCAAGTCGACGATCCAAGCTTCGGTTAGGTTAGGTTAGGTTAGGTTAGGTTTGGTTAAGTTAGGTTTGGTTAAGTTAGGTTAGGTTAGGTTAGGATAGGTTAGGTCAGCCTAACTTAATATATCATATTTATTCATTACTAACGTATTGCCAGGAAGTTTTCTGAAGCGTGTGTAGTATGTGGTAGTTTTTGGTAATTAGACGGACCCGCCACAGGTGATACAACCCAACAAGCCCCATAAACGCTCGCCAACTCCCAGTACTTCTGGGCCAAGCCGGTGCTTAAAGGAGGAAATGTAGATGTTTATCTCTCAGAATGTTTGGTAATATGTTTATTGTTTGTGATGTGTGTCTATGTATGTATTAACACGATGTACTGAACGGGGTGAGAATAGCTTGAGCTACCTCATCCGGGTCCGTCTAATTACCAAAAACTACCACATACTACACACGCTTCAGAAAACTTCTTGGCAATACGTTAGTAATGAATAAATATGATATATTAAGTTAGGCTGACCTAACCTAACCTAACCTAACCTAACCTATCCTATCCTAACCTAACCTAACCTAACCTAACTTAACCAAACCTAACCTAACCTAACCGAAGCTTGGATCGTCGACTTGATTTGGCGTCACCAGCTTTTTATTTTCGTCTAATTTCTTTATAAAAAGATACTTTTTCGGATTAAAATTATGTTTTTTCATGTTGTATGTTCAGCACCAACATTGTAATGAGTAAATATATCATATTTATTCATTACTAACGTATTGCCAGGAAGTTTTCTGAAGCGTGTGTAGCATGTGGTAGTTTTTGGTAATTAGACGGACCGCCTCATCCCTTTGTGTGTATTTTACCTCAATAAACTTATTTCAATTTCAATTCAAAGCCGGCGCTGGATATCATCACCTCTACCAGAAGGTTCAACCGGAAAAAAACAGAAACATTTGTTAACTTCCCCGTGACCCCAGGAGATTAGTGCGAAAGGTGTCGTTTCAAAATAGGCCGTTTAAGAGGGATGCTTAGCGGCAGTAAAGAAACCAAATAATCAAAATGCCATAAAAGATAAAATGCCATCATTCATCGTCTTCGGTTCTTCTTTATGGTACGTACAGTTTGCGTTAAGATTTCTCTTCCAGGTGACTGCACGAGCAGCAATGTTAGGAGACGTGTCAATGTTTATGATGTGGTCAGGTTTTAATGCTGTTGCATAGAGTAAGACTTGTTTGGCGACGAGGCTGGGCACATCAGCTGATGGCTCGTCTAGTACTGGGTTTTGTTTTGTCGACAGTACACGCTCGCTTATAACACCAAGTCAGGTTACATTTTCTTTGGTTCATATTATTTGGGGACAAATATATTTTGGTATGTTTTTTAAATAGTTGTGATTATTTATTAAGATTATTATGATTATTATTATCCAATTTACCTGAGGGCCACTATCTCTCTAATGGCCTCGACGATGACATGAAGCCGATGGCTTGTTAGATATCCCCAATTTGAATAACCATCAAAGGTTAATTATTTAAGAACATAAGAACGAAGGTAACTGCAGAAGGCCTATTTGGCCCATACAAAATAGCTCCTATTTATAACCACCCAATCCCACTCATATACATGTACATGTTCAACCCATGCTTGAAACAATCGAGGGCCCCCACCACCATCACGTTACGGGATAATTGGTTTTACACAAATCAATAACCCTGTTACCGAACCAGTATTTACCCAAGTCTTTCCTAATTCTAAACTTATCCAATTTATACCCATTGTTTCGCGTTCTGTCTTGTGTTGATACTTTTAATCGAAGCGTTAGTAACAAGACACCTGGTGTTGTTCTTCAGCTATATCTTGCTCTGGTTAGGCCCTATTTAGATTATGCAGTTCAGTTTTGGCCGCCGTACTATAGAATGGATATAAATTCACTTGAACGTACAGTACAAGTGGATGAATGGACATAACAAAGGGAATATTAATAGAGTATTAATAATCCCAGTGTCCTATTTGTCTTATTACGAACATTCATGCATTGATCCTTTGGTTTTAAACTCTTACTAATCATAACTCCCAGATCCCTTTCGCAATCCGACTTCGCATTCTCAACACCATCTAGCTCGTATCTTGTAACCCTTTCATCATTACTTAGCCTCAAAACTTTACATTTATCAGCATTAAACTTCATCTGCCAATCTTTATCCTACTTAATATAGCACCCCCAATACCATGAACCTCTATCTTTTTAATCAGTCTTTCATGTGGCACTGTATCAAAAGCTTTGCCAAAGTCAAGGTACACAACATCACAATCCTTACCACTATCACCTGCCTCAACTATGCTGGAATAAAAAGATAGCAAATTTGTTGAATATGAACGGCCATTTGTAAAACCATGTTGCGAATCATATATTAATTTATGTTTTTTAAGATGAAGACGAATTGTATTTGCAATTATCGATTCAAGTAACTTTCCCACAATAGACGTTAGGCTAATTGGCCGATAGTTTAACGCAAGTGATTATCTCTTTTCTTAAAAATTGGTACCACATTAGCAACCTTCCATGACTATGGCACTCTGCCTGACTATTGATTTATTAAATATGGAAGACAGTGGCTCGCAAAGCTCCTCTTTGCATTCTTTAAGCATCCTGGCAAACACTTCATCCGGCCCTGGGGATTTGTTTGGTTTGAGTTTTACTATTTGTTTAATAACATCCTCCTTGGTAACTGCTAAACTAGTCAACCTGTCCTCGTCCCCACCCACATAGACTGAAGGCTGAAGGCATATTGTTAAGTTCCTCTTTAGTAAATACAGAGATAAAATATTTATTAAAAATACTACTCATCTCTTCGTCATTATCCGTTATCTGACGGATATGCAATAGTGGCGCCTCTGCATCTGTTCCACAGACATGACATTCTTTAACTATTGGGTTTATTACCTCTCAGCAGCACTCGTAACCAAGTCTGAGTCTATGTATGACTACTGCAATGTCTGGATATATTTTTTTCAGGCTTGAAAGAGTATTTAGGCTAGACTATCAATGGTTCATTGATAGTCTAGCCTAAATTGGTGAGGTGGTCACACTAACACTTACGGGCTATTCATGCCCGTTCCACCTCTTGAGTGGCTTAATCTTCATCGTTCTTTTCAGACGAGGAAATTTTAATAGGAGTTACACCGCTGCACCACTAATACGACACCTACTCGTTTTAAGACTTCCTCATGGAGGCCACCTCACCAAACTACAATGACAACAAGGCTCAGCCAAAGTCTCAGGCAAAGAAAAAAGTCTCAGGCAAAGAAGAAAAAACGGAAAACCTAGAGGTCTACACTAACCCCACCAGTTCCATGACTGGTACAGCCAGCCCTCCAGCGCTGAAAACCACCATGAAGACCCCCATCCATCGCCAGATTTCTAGTATCAGCTATTGATACAGATAAAGGCTCCGAAGAGCCTCCACTTACGGTCTCACCATAGCCTGCGCTACTGGAACTTCTTGTTCTGAGCAGCTGAATAAAAAACAACAACATCTTCATCGGTCAATCAGGTGGTCACAGCACTGTGTTCATTTAGGGGTGATCCTGGGCGGCATGGGTTCTAATCAACAATTACGGGTGGGGACCTTTGACAATCCACCTGCATCCTGTCCTCGTCGCGGCCGCTAGAAAGATAGTAGCCCCTCAGGCAAATTCAGGTGAAATCCAGCTGGAAAACATCCTCAGAAACATTGGGGGACATTTGACAAACCGCCATCGTCCTGTCTCCGTCAAGGCCATTAGAAAGATGGTGGACTACATGTAAGTTCAGGGATATATATAACGTTATGTGTGTGCCAAGGTAGATTAGTCTGGGACTTCCCCAGTTACATTACTTAGATCAAGCGTGGGATTTTCCAGCACTAGAGATAGGCAGCAGCTAGGTAGGTCTCATGAGCGAGTGGTCAGGCTGTATGCAGGCGATGAGTCACAATAACGTGGCTGAAGTATGTTGACCAGACCACACACTAGAAATTGAAGAGACGACGACGTTTCGGTCCGTCCTGGACCATTCTCAAGTCGATTGTGAGAATCGTCCAGGACGACTTGAGAATGGTCCAGGACGGACCGAAACGTCGTCGTCTCTTCAATTTCTAGTGTGTGGTCTGGTCAGGCTGTACTAAGCTCCCGGCACCCATCTACCATTGACAATAGGGGTGCCACAGGGCAGCATCTTGGGCCTTTCCTATTTCTTATATGCATTAATGATTTGCCAAATGTTTCTAACATTCTTAAACCTATACTATTTGCAGACGACACTACCTTCGTCTATTCTGACCCCCCCCCACACTAAATAATATTGCCAACAGTGAGTTAAAAAAAGTCCACTCGTGGATGTCAACCAACACACTTATACTAAACATACACAAGACCTACTACGTTTTATTTGGTAGTTAATCATCAAATCAAATTCAACTTCATATAGACAACTTTAACATTACTAATAAAAATGAGAGGAAGTTCCTTGTTCTATATATAGACAAGAGACTGACACATATCTGACTTTCTAACATCAGATATTATGCTCTCCACTCTGCTCTCCTCTCATTATACTACGCACTAATATATTCCTATCTTACATACGGTATCTGTGCTTGGGGTTCAACCACTACAAATTACCTCAAGCCTATCATCAGTCAGCAAAAATCTGCTATCAGAACTATAACAAACTCTGTCTTCAGACAACACACATGTAAGTCCTCTATGTAAGTCCCTTAACATGGTAAACATACACCTACTCCACACATCCTCATGTGCTATCTACATGTACAAAACCTTGTTCCTAAATGCTAATCTTGATCTGAAACTTCCCTTGATAGATGTAATAGAACCCATGAGCACCACACCAGAAATAAATATAGCTTAGATATCCCCAGAGTCAGACTAAATCTGCGCAAACACTCTATGTAAATAAAAGGGCCCAGTCTTTGGAACAAACTCTGTGATGAATTAAAAAATTGTCCAATCCATGTCCTGTAAAAAGTAAAAATAAAAGTAAATAAACAAAAGTAAAATAAAAACGTACCTTATTTCATAGTTTCATAAACCTCATAGTTTCCTACCTTGTGCTTCAAACTCACACTGCATCTTGTACTACCCACTTCCCCAATATTAATACTTACGACATATATCCTTACCATGTGTAATCACCTCTGTCAACTTATGTTGTAGTTATTTGTTGATATAAAAACCTTGCTACAATTTACTCTTTCATCTTACCTGATATGTTAGATTAAGGACCTGCCCGAAACGCTAATGCGTGTTAGTGGCTTAGCATGAATGTAAAAATACCTATCTTATGTAATCTCACCAACCCATTGTACCTTCTTGCAAATAAATTATTTTTATTATTCGCAACCAAATCATCCCCCCTTGATCCACCTTCATATCAGGACCACTCCCTCTACTCACCTCACCAATTGATTGACAGCTGAGAGGCGGGACCAAAGAGCCAAAGCTCAACCCCCGCAAGCACAACTAGGTGAGTACCTATAATTGTCTCCATTCCCTATAATTCTCACCACACTCGCTTGTTTCCAAAACCATTCCTCACACCTCTCATTATTAACTATTAACCCCCATAGTGGACAGGAATGGTTGGGCACGTTTCCTTTCACCTAATGCCTTTGTCGTCCACCTAGTAGTAAATATAAGTACCCGGGAGTTAGGCAACTGTTGTGGGGTTGTTTCCTGGGGAGAGATACTAGTTAACGACCTTGGGGGAGGACCTCGATACATGGCTTCCTGTCCCCAACAAAACGAATTAATTAATGCGCACCTCATAAAATACATTATTTACGTTTTTGTACCACTATAAACGTGATTGGTGGCATTATAAATCATATAAATGAAAACTATACAGTTTGTAATTAGCGCCTATGTAATATTTGTCAGAAATAAAATAATGTATATCTGTTGTAACCAAAATATTTTGTTACGGTAACATTACCATATTTCTAAAGACCTTGAAGGTTCCAATAATACAAAATAGGCAAGATAAGTTGGGAATAAAAATAACATATCACCAAATTATTTTGAAAAATAATAGAAAAATAATATGGTTTCACTGAGTCATAAATTGATCATTTGTTCAAAACCAATATGAGAAGTAAGAGGACATTTTTACAACAAGTTGGGTAGTCAGGGAAGAATGGTAGTTTGTTGTGGTGAGTGTTGGGGGCGGCGGCGACCATGCTGGCTCCTCTCTCCAGCCCTACTGCCTGCTGCTCTCCCACGCCCTCCCTAGTGCCACATTGACAATCTACTGCCACACTCACGATTCTTATAGCCTGACAGTGGACGTGTGAGGCGGGGCGATGCCTGTGGTGTTGGACCGCTTGCCCCTACCCAACCTGACCTGGTACTCTGGGCTCAGTGTTCTTCTCCTCTCCTGTTCCATATACTATGCCGGCGTACAAGTCGCCCTCAACCCTAACTGGAAGGAGAAGCTCTTGGAGAAGAGCAATGCTTCACAAGCAGAAGACGAGGTGTCGCTTTACCACGTCAGCGATCATGATGGGACCTCACAGGAGCGCCAGATGACCCCTTACCTCATCCCCGAAGTCATCAGTTTCATGTTCCATGAACCTCTCTGTATATGGGTATGCCTCATGCTTTCTTTATGCTCCTGGTGTTGAGCTGACTGACTAGATCATGTCTGGACTTAAATAGGTGTTTGATGTGTGGTGATTGTTGCCATTTCATATGAGACATCTCGTGAAAAACTGAATGAACTTGCAGCTTGATGTTTTGTAGGCCTGGTACATACACTTGTAGTTCATTCTTGGTGCTTCATTTTCATGAATTGTATACATATGTCTGTTGTCATACTTAAAGGCATCACATTTGTATGTAATACTTTTGTGTCCTGCTCCCACTTGTCCGGCGACTAACAGTGGGGTGTAACCCATTTAAGGAATTCCAAAAGTACTCGGCAGTCTATGGGATAATGAATAATAATGATGATAATAATAAATAAATGTTTATTCAGGTAAAATACATACAAGATGAGTTACAAACAGAATGTTGGATGTTTAAAGAGAGCTAGTACATACTATGCCTAAAGGAACTAATACGCACAGCGTTTCAGGGAAGATGTGGGAAAAACACTTAGACTGAAACTTAAACTAATTGAGACCACAGCATAACTTGAATTGAAAAAGGGGGAAAAAAGAATGATAAGAATTGCATAATGGATGGAACCACAGAAATTTAAACAGCAGAAGTAATTTTTTACTAAATAAACAGACGACTACAATTTTCTTCACGTTTTACCTGACAGATATCAGCAGTTAAACAAGTTGGTTAATAATCAATATTTTTTGAAAATAGCAAGACATAGGTTGACATTTAGGAGATAGGTAGGTTACATGGAGTTTATTAGGTAGTATGCACTTAGTTTTTCTCTTAAACTGGTTGAGAGAGGTACAGTCTTTGACATGATTGGGAAGGTCAGTCCACATTCTGGGTCCTTTGATTTGCAGAGCATTTCTAGTTTAATTAAGTCACACTTTTGGAATATCAAATAGGTATGTGTTTCTAGTGTGGTGCCCATGGGTTCTGTTATCTTTTAGGAAGTGTTTAATTTCAAAATTGGCATTACAGTTCAGAGTTTTAAATATATAGAGTACACTTAAGAGGATGTGCAGTGACTAATATCTTAACACATTCAAAGATTTAAGTAAGGGGGCTGAGTGCTGTCCCGTGGAAGAGTTTGTTATTGTTCTAATAGCAGATTTGTTTTGAGTAATTAGAGGATGTAGATGATTTTGGGTAGTAGAACCCCAAGCACAGATACCATAATTGAGATAAGGATAGAGAATTACCAGGGCAGGGCAAGGTACATAGTATCAAATTTTAGAAATAATTCCAACTGTTTTAGAAACTTTTTTGCTATGTTTTGAAATGTGGCCCTGGAAATTCAGCTTATCATTGAGAACACCAAGGAATTTATCATCTACTTTGTTACTACTTTGGATATTGTTAATTCTTAGGTTAATTTGATCTGAGGATTTATTAACAAACAAAATATAGAAGGTTTTGTCAATGTTAAGGGTGAGTTTGTTAGCAGTTAGCCAAAGATGGACTTTATTTAGTTCAGTATTCACTGTGTCATTCAAAATAAAAAGGTTAGGACTGGAGAAAATAAAGGTTGTCATTAACAAATAAAATTGGCCCAAGATGTTGAGAGGCATTTGGGAAGGTCATGAATGTAGATGAGAAAGAGGAGAGGGCCAAGTATGCTGCCCTGTGGAACACCAATGTTGATGGGTAGGGTGGAAGAATCATTCACAGAAACTTACTGGAGCCTGTCACTAAGATAAGACTGAAGGTATTAGAGGGAGTGACGTCTGACTCCATAATGATGTAATTTAAGAAGGTTGTGGGTTAAGTATCAAAAGCCTTAGGGCAACAAATAACCCAACAGGGAACTTATTTTTATTAAGAGATGCATGTATCAAGTTAATCATACTAATCAGTGCATCATTGGTGCTTTATTGGGGGGGGTCTGAAGCCATATTGGCAAGAGCTAAGTATATTGTGTTTAGCTGGATAAGAATATAGCTGCTTATAGATTAGCTTTTAAAATATTTTAGACAAGGTTGGCAGAATTAATATAGGTCTGAAATTGTTGACATCAGTGAGTCACCCCATCAGTAACCCTAGTCCACATTTGTTGACTGGGGTTACTCTTGCTTTTTTTTTTTTTAGAATATCAGGAAAGGTTTGGAGTTCAATTGATTTGTTGTAGAGGAATGCAATGGCCGAAACTAAAAATCTAGAGGCCCTTTTTGTAAATTAGGGTTGGTATATCAGCAAGGGCACTTTATTTTAAGAGAAAGGATTATCTCATTAAAATCAGAGGAATTAGTGGGAGTTAGGTACTGAGACTCAGGATAGTTTCCTGCAAGGTAGTCCTTAACATTTATTAGGGAAGATGGGATATAATTTGCTAGGTATATGCCAATGGATGAGAAGAAACTATTGAATTTAGTGTCAGTGGCAGAAAGCACACCATCATCATTGGGTAGGAGTATTGGCTTCTTATTCAAGATCTTCTTTGATTCTAATATTTGGGAGATAGTGCACCATGTTTTCTTAATGTTGCCCTTAATCAAATTTATTTCATAGTATTTTATTTTGGCTCCTAATTATTTTGGACAGCATTGATGAGTATCTCCTTGAAACTTCTTTGGAGAGGAACCACCCCCCCTAACCTATACTACTTCTCATGGTCATATGTTTTATTAATAGATTTAGGTATATCCTTAGTAAGCCATGGATTGTTTTAACTTAAATGGTACAATTTATGATGCAAAGTAAAGAGAAAAAACTAATTTCAGTAATGAAATTTGGAGCAATTAGAAAAAATCTAGATATAAAAATAACTATAGTATGAAATATAAATAAAATAAAAAAGTTAAAATGAAATAAGAATCAATGTACAGTAATTAGACAAGTAGAATACAGATGACAAGTAAAAATAAGGATTCAATAAAGATTGACTAAGTTTAGAACAAGACCAACTTAGAAAAATTACTAAAATTACAGTACACTAGAATAAATGAGGTAGATTACTTTGAGGTACAATCAGGTACACTGAAAACAATAGTGTACAATACAGGCACAGGCATAGCCAGAGTACAATTGAGCAAGGGAGTATGTGGAGGCTAAGTAACAATGAAACCTAGGTTACCTAGCCTCCACTGGATAGGAAGGGAGTTAATTAAGATAAGTCACCGATAGGGTTACCAATGATAACTGATTGGGTTATCAGTGATAACTGATAGGGTTAGGTTTGATGAACATCAAGATAAATTTGTTAAATTCATTTAGGAATATTATGAAATGTAAATTGTCACTAGAACAACAAATATAAGCTGCATCTTAAAACCTTTACCATTAAAATAGCTTAAATGAAAGTAAAGATATGCTGTATGTATTTTGAAATGTTCTGTGCTCCTGCTCTCACACACACACAGCTCCGAACGTTTGCACTTGAAGATCAGTTTTGTAATTCCGAGAGATACGCTAATAAGCCTTAGTTTTACATACCACAGGCAGAGATATGATATGAATGTTATTATGAACCCCATTATTATTATACATCTTAACCCCTTCACTGCAACACATTTGTTTCAGTCTCATTGCTTACTTCAGGCATCAAGAACAAACCTGACTGTACTACCAAACTCGTGTGGTCCTGTGAACCATAAGGCTTGGACACATTTTGTGGTGGTTCTGTGTGTTTGTGCCACTCTCGAAATATTTTCAGTTAAAGATCTTGGTCACAACTCGCCTCGTCCTGCGCCTCTCTAGGAAATGCAGGCCATTCTCAATTAACTTCTCCATGTTTTTCAAGTCCCAAACTCTAGGGATCAGTTTAGTCATCCTACATTGGATTTTTTAGGGGAAATTAAGTCTCTGTCATGCAAGTTTTTTTTAGGGGAAATTAACTCCCTGTCATGCAAGTTTACTCCATACCTCAGTGATTAGAACTTTTTCTTATAGTGTGGCCAAATATAATTGGAGGAAGATGATTGTGGTATTGTTGATGCTTCTGGTTATAAACCCAACTATTCTATTTGCTTTATATACGTTGATTCACTGTTGCTTAGGTCTCGGGTCACTGCCAATCGTGACTCAAGTCTCCTTTGCATCATGCTTTCCCAAATCTGCTGTATTTATTGGGTAGACAGTGTCAGTGTCATTTCCTAAGCTTAGTGCTTTGTACTTATTAATGGTGAACTGCATCTTCCACTTTAATGCCCAGTTCTGCAATGTGATTGAAGTCTCTAGAGTTCCCTCATGTCCTCATTAAAGTTTACTATTTGGCCACTTTCGTGTCATCTGCAAACCTGATGATACTGTATTACTGTCCACTTCTGTCCATGTCCACTTCCACAAAGTCATTCACAACTCCTTGGCTAAGAGCATGAGGGCAAAGACTTGCTCCCTGTCATGCAGGTAGTGTCCTATATTTTCTGTAACCAAAAAAGTGCTCTTTTAAACTATGGTTTATTCTTAACTTCCTCCCACTCAATTGGCACATTCCTTTTCCCTCTCTTTGGATAACCACTGTACTCCAGGTTTGGCTCATTTTCCTGGATCTAAAGGATGCTTAACACTATCGCACTCCGTTGCCTTTGCCCGTCATCTCATTTTTCTCGAGTCGTCTCTGGTGATGAGGTCCGGAGTCACTCATTAAAATGTGTTAAAAATTTAAATTTTATCTGATCAATCTGGGAGTGGATTCAAAATGAGCGCCTTTTAAATTGCGCACAATTTGATACCAAAATGAAAGATGTAACACGAAAATTAATGTCAGAATTGACATCAATTTGACTCAACTGAAGACATATGACTTATGGAACGTGGCTGAAATCTCATTACAGAACTTTACGTTCATTTTCCTAGTTCTGAATATTGACTTTTGTTTTTAAATGATTTTAAGGATTGATAAATGTTTATAGTGTATAATCATGACCAAGTCAAAATCTTTATTCATGAGCTGTTATTTCTATAACCCATTCTTGGAAATATATATCCATGACCCAACAGTTCATCAATTTATATCCATGATCCAAAGAAGAACATCATAGATTTTGAAACTTTCTTGTAGTTTTAAGCTAATCAACTATTTTCTGTTGTGTGTTATGTAATGTTCACAAGATTTTTGAACATTAAAATATAGTTATTTTGTTGTAATCATTAGAAAAATCATTTAACTGCTAAACATTTTCTTTGACAGACTCTCATCAACATGGCATATTGTGTTCTGATTCTTTTGGGCACCCTAATTCAGCGCCTCGTGTTTGGAGAGCTGCGGGTGTCAGAACAGCAACACATAAAAGACAAGTTTTGGAATTTTGTCTTTTATAAATTCATCTTCGTTTTTGGTGTGATGAACGTCCAAGCAATGGATGAGGTTGTGCTCTGGTGTTCTTGGTTCAGTGTCTTGGGATTTCTACACCTTCTGGCTCAACTTTGCAAAGATCGCTTTGAATATGTAAGTTCACCTATTATGTATATGCCTAACCACTTGGGCTGGACGGTAGAGTGACAGTCTCGCTTCATGCAGGTTGGCATTCAATTGCCGACCGTCAAAGTGGCTGGGCACCATCTTCCCCATCCCTTCCCAAATCCTTATTGTGATCCATTCCAAGTGCTATATAGTCTTAATGACTTGACACTTTCTCCTGATTGTTCCCTTCCCTATCATATATATACAGGTACAGTACAGCACTAGATATACTTACAATTTCAGTTAAATTCTTAGCCTAGTTATTTTTGCATCTGCATTGTGTTTTATCAGTAGTTTATCAAAATATCAGATTAGAAGTGACAGTACTGTAATTCATTATGTTTGAGAAAGTGAATAAGATAATGCATTCATTTCCATTTATTTATTGATATTGAAAATTTCCTATAGAAATTTACATTTCTATTTGCAAATGTAAAGGAGTGTACATACTTGTGCAAATACATAAGGTCCAAATACACATGCTCAGCTGAATCCATATATATGTATTTACAATGAACACTACTGTATATATACCACTAACAGTGAAGGGATCTGCAGTATATGGCAGGCAGTGTTGTAGATCAGATATTTACACTGAAACAATTAATAGAGAAGGTATACAAAACCGAATATAACGTGTACATGACCGTTATGGACTTGGAAAAGCATACAGCAAAGTTAATAAAATTTGGAGAGTTATAAGCTTGTATGGAGTTAGCAGCGTTGTGAGAAGTTTCTATGTATCAGTGCATGTGTAAGAGTTAATGGTGTAATGAATAGTTAGTTTTATATTAATGTAGGTGTATGTCATGGTTGGTTTGATGTCATCCTGGTTATTACATTTTTAAAAGATAATGAGAATTTAGCAGTTACAAATTTTTTTTTACACTTTTTTCAGTTATCATTCTCTGCAACAACGCCACGCAGAACGCACGTGAGGCTGCTCGGGCTACTGGGCATTATCCTCACCATAGCTACCTTCTGTCTTCTCATATGTGTTGTTGTTGGCTGTCACTCGGGCATTAATACTTTTGCATTTATGGTTGCTGAGGTATGTAAATAATAATTTTAGCATAACACCTGTTTCCTTCTGTATAAAGTTTTTGTAAATTAATGTAATATTTATTAGAAGAACATGAACAGTTCATTACATAGCTCGGTGTAGGCTTATAATTTTGGAGTACAGTACAGTCCTGTATTACTATAATTTATACTAGATTCTTTTCTGCACACATTGATTAAATTCACACTTAAACATTTTTTATTGGAAACAAAAATTTGGCTTGAATAGGAGGGGGGTGAGCAAATATTGGATATGACATTTGTGTGTATGTATATTCCCTGTTTGTTTCTGGTATACTTAATGTTACTGTTGTTTTTAATATACTGTAATTAATTTTAAACAATATTAAGTCTTATAGACATCAATTTAAACCACTAGGAAAGACAATCGGAGAGAGGGTGTTGACGGCCCCTAGAAGTAATATTTAGCTGTGGACAGCTCTCATCCTCCTCCTGTCTGTTGCCCAGCATATTACTTCCTCCTGGGATTTTCTTATCAGGGGCTCACCACAGCACATGCTTCTCCAGGAAGCTCTTATCACTGCACAAACTATTCTTTTATGCTATTCCTCCCCTACCTCTGCCTTCATTTTTTTCATATTGTTCCATTCTCCCCCTTCCAAGATACAGTATGAGTTATCTGCCTCTACCATATTATACCCTTACCTCATCTTATGTATCCTTGTTTAAAAAAAAAAAATTTGGCATCTTACTAACATGTCCATACCACCAGAGTGTATTACACTTTACCAATTCCACAACTTGGTATTTCATTCCTTTGCTCCTTTCATGCATACAGTACCTACACTCCCACATACTTCCCTTTGCTTTACCAATCCCACATAGGGTAAAGTTGCTGGTCTCCAGGCTGATGCCCAAACTGGATCAGCCAGGAGCTCCAGGATAAATTCATTATTGTAACAGGGTTTGAGGGCCTTGTGGGTGATGTCCTGGGATGCATGAACTTAAAGAGAATTGAAGGAGTGGATTGAGAAAGAAAGAAAATGTAGCAGTGTGATAGTTTGAGTAGAAAAGTTGAGGTTGGTCATCAAGATCCAAATTTACTCTTTAAATGTTGATTTTGTGCTGCTCTTGTTTTGGTCCGGGCTCTTAACCTTGAGGTTTGTGAGTCGATGGCTGTTTTGTACCACTTATGAGAGTACCTTGTTCTGTCTTAGCTATTCTCCTGAGCTCTTGAGGGTCTGGTTAGGTTTGCCCTAAGTGAGAACACTTTGCATTCCTGTGGCATGCTCTTCCCACCTTGCATTGAGAACTGCTTTTTTTGGCTCCTTTTTACAGGAAGTAGTTCATGACCTTAGTACATAACCATCAGTTTTTCCCTAGATTTTTGCTGTCTCAGTCAGGGGGATCATTCCAGGGTTCAAGGATCATTTGTAGTTATTGCATGGCCTTTAGCTGAGGTTCTTGTGCTTTGGGTGGTGCCGTTTCCATATGCCTCTTGGCGGGTTTTGGGCCGGTGTTTGGCCATGCTGTTTCTTGGGTTCCCTTCTGCTTGTGGTTGGTGGTGGTAGGATCTTTTATTATGAGGGTGCCTAGTCTCTTTAGGGCTGCCTTCTTTTTTCTGTGTTAGGGCCTGGTTCCAGGTCTAGTCTTCCATGCTTGTCTTTGTGTGGGTTCCATTTTTTTCCCCTCCTTGATGCTCTGAATTTTGCCAATTTGCCTTCTTGGTTTGGGGGCATTGTTTTCCGTCTTCTGATCTCCCACGTTTAGCATTTATTGGCCAGATGGGTGCATCATCTAATTGGTGTGGTCTCTTACTCCTTTGGCTGGATTGGTTGTGCAGTACCTGGTATGCTTTTGTCACTAATACCTCTATTGCATGAGGTGTGCTGGTATCTAGACACCTGGGTATGTTCAGGAGTGTTTTTTATCTTGTTCGACTGACTGATCCATAGGTATGTATGCATTATTTACGTTCCCTGGTGAATCGCTTGTGTCTCGGTACAAGCTCCATATCCTCCTGCATTCTCCGGCTTGGTTTCTCCTCTTGTACCCCAGGGTAGAAGAGGAGTCAGACTCAAGTCTTGCCAAGGAGTGGTACCCTTCCCAACGCCCAAGATCAGTGATGAAAGGAGGCAATTGCCTGCAGAAAAACCAGCTCTTGGGGTAGCCAGTAGTGTGTGAGGTAACTAGAGTACTGGAACCTTGTCTTTGTCAGATGCTGTATCCTAGTGGTGATCAGGTGTAATTGTCTGGTTGGGCAACTGGGAGTTTGCAAGAGTAGTACTGTAATTGCTTTTCCTTTAGAATGGCAATTAGTGCTTGAAATGGGTTTAAGATTTTATTGTGCTTTCTGGCAATCATTGTGGGCTAAATTGAGTTATTGTCTAGTCTCCCTAGCAGCGGTATTACTTGCAAGGACTGTGTAAAAGTATCCCTGTTGTGCAAGAGCAAATGTTATATGCGTGTAAGCATAGACCTCTGCAGGGGAGCCAGGAGGATCTTGTTTTAGAGATCAGTTGAGTGGTGTAACTTGTTTATTAATCTTTTTTATTAATAATTCTGTATAAATTATCTTCATAATATTGTAGCTCCTAATATTACTGCTATTTGCATGCTGATTTTAAGCACTACTTTTAATTTCAGTGCATACTTTTGGTAGTACGAACACTGCATGTGATCACCCGCTACAGTATCTACCTCTGGGATATCACGCATGAAGGCTTGTGGGAAAGACGAGGTAAGTTTCCTTCACTTACACACTGTAGTTTACATTTTCACTAATTTGGAAAAATTCTCATTAATTTTGCTGTCTGTCAGTCTGATGTTATCTCTGTTTGGCCTCATCTTACTTGTATTGCTTTGAGCATTTGGCACTCCTTGCCTTGGACTCTTCTCTTGTTAGTTGAAGGATAAGTCCAGAATGCTTTTTATATTTTCCTGGCAAACCTGCCTGCTGTATTGAGGGGCTGTTGTGAGTGAGCTCCAGGAGCTACTGAAGGAAACCCTCCTAGAAATTAAGTGTAGAATATAATGAACTGCTAGTGATGATTGATTGATGAAAATTAAGCCACCCAAAAGGTGGCACGGGCATGAATAGCCCGTAAGTGGTGGCCCTTTTGAGCTATTGCCAGTAGCAAGAGCTGATACTGGAGATCGGTGAAGGTGCGACTGCACCCTCCGTGACGGGAGATGTCTCCGGAACTGCTAGTAAGAGTGAGGCAGCAGGCTGGTTGGGACTCGAGGCGGCCTGGGCAGCCATCTGGCAGCAGTCATGCGCATCATAGTTATAGTATATGTCCTGCAACAACAACGCCTTATTTACCTGGGGTGCCTAATTTCATTCAAGCAGTCACTTGTTTGTTACCATTATACTTTCCAGTAGAATTCTATGTTTTTGGTCAATCTCTTATCCCTAAGCTCCTTGCCCTAAATTGTTAGCCAGGATTCTAGTTCTGGCATCCTGTAGGTGATGGAAAGATCTCAAAGATCTGGTATTAATAGCTAAGGTTTGGAGGCCTCCACCCCCAGGAAGCAGCCCGTGACAGCTGACTAACACCCAGGTACCTATTTTACTGCTAGGTAACGGGCATAGGGTGAAAGAAACTCTGCCCATTGTTTCTCGCCGGCGCCTGGGATCGAACCCAGGACCACAGGATCACAAGTCCAGCGTGCTGTCCGCTCGGCCGACCGGCTCCCCCATGCTCGGTGTACCCATGCTTGTTCCATCTACCCAATGCTCGTGCTATCTACTCTATACTCGTTCCATCTACCCTACACTTGCTCCAGCCTACACTCGTTCCACCTACCCTATATTCATCAAAGCTACCAAACCACACTATACCCTCCACTACCCCCTATCACTTGCTTCACCACAAAGCCCACCTGTATCATGAGATAACACAGCCTGGGAATACCCAGTACCTTTTACGATCACCCATATGTGATAGAACCTTCAAATCAAATTCAAATTCAAATATTTTATTCAGGTACAAGTACATACATAGAAGATGAGTTACAAACATAAAGTTGGATTTACAGATAGAGCTAGTACTTGCAATACCTAAAGCCACTAATATGCATAGCGTTTCGGGCAAATTATCTGGTTTGTAATGCAAATATACAATTATCACACTGCTATTATAAATCTGCTTCTGTTTATGAATATATATATGAAGTCAAATCAATCAATCTGTTATTTTAGTTATTAAAACTTGTGTATACTGCTCTAAAGTGCTAATTTTGAATGCAGTTTCCTTTACTCTTGTTTGTTACCCTAAGGTCGTTATGTGTACATGACTGAGCTGGTATTTGAGCTGAGTGAGCTGATAATCGACATGGTTCATCACATTCACATGCTGGTATGGGGTAATATGTTCCTGACTATGGCATCACTTGTCATATGTATGCAGCTGAGACTTCTCTTCTATCAACTTCAGCACAAGGTCAAGTCTCACCGTAACTACCTTAGGGTCCTTCAACTGGTGAATATGTGAGTTATGTCACTGTTTTACAGTATTTCATATTTGGTCTGTTTATCCATATATCATGGCTATTTTAGCATTTTATTTTGTCAGTTCATTCAATAAGTGTAATTTTCTGTGGAGAGCCCCGTCTGGCTTCTTGGAGTAATCGGGCTAGTATGCAATACATTAGACCAGCGTATTAGTCAATGGAGTTAGCCTACCGTGAACCACAAGCCAGAACCTGGCCCTCTCAGAGAGGCACACGGAGCAATGGCCCCTGGAAAACCCTCCCCCCCCCCTGTGGTTGGGGGTTTTCCTTATCTGCCATTGACTGGGTCAAGGTACCCAGAAAGGTAGGCATAACAAAACAGACCCCACATGGTAAGAAAATTGCAACCGAAAACAACACAAAGGCATAACTCCTTCAAATCCCAAGGAAATAAGCAAACAAACGAACGTCACACCTTGCCACTGCGCCGCTCGTCTGTGTAGTTCTACCCTTCTCGGGAGGGGGAGGGAGGAGTCTCTGACCCCCCGTGCTGGCTACCCAGTAACTCCAATTCGGAGGCTAAGCGTCAAAACATTGTGAAAACCGCTAACCGGAGGGAGGGAGGGTGCCAATTTCCAGGGCCATTATTCCCTGTGCCTCTCTGAGGGGGCCAGGTTCTGGTTCGTGGTCCCCGGTAGGCTGAACTCCATTGACTAATGCCCTGGTCTAATGTATTGCATATTAGCCCGATAGCTTCGGTTACATTCAATACTGGTGTTTTGCTTTGGAGCGTTGTAATCATACGACATTTTTGTTTGGAGATTTCAGAAAAAAATTACTGTACTGTATCTCACTTCTTTGTAACCATAATTGTCTTGTTCACTGCATACAATTTGTCAATTATGAGCTTAATAGCTTTCTTAGTAGCTTACATTTCTGGCATGTGTTCAGGACACTTGCATCCCTAGGCTTTTGGTGTCAGTCTTCTCATGCTAGGGACAAGCATCATCCCACTTGCCCTCTCGTCATGGCAGTAAGCTATTGGGGATCACAGGTCAACCCACTACTGAAGTGAAATGTCTGAGTAAACAAAAACCACAAAACACTAAACCCTGTATGCCACTAATTCCCAAACAACTCTAAACTGTTCACTTTCCACTTATCCGTGGCAACCAAAGGGTCGGAGTGAGCAAGCCCTCCCATACTCACTTGGTGTGTTATTGTTATTGTGAAGTCAATGTTTTCTCCTAGGGACCTACAGTGTTGTTTACAGCTCAGTTGACTTGCTTATTCTGGAACTTTGTTCTCTCCAATATGGAGGCCATGTGCTTCAGGACACATGACCAGTTGATTTGTATTTCTCATCTATTTTCTTTACCAGTGTTTAGTTCAAGGCATCTTTCCCTGCCACAGTGTATGTCTATTGACTTCCGCCATAATGATATTCCCTGAGGATTTAGTCCTCCCAAAGTGAAGGTTTCTATTGAGTTTGGCCTAACTGGGCAGTTCTAAATGATTTGTTTGGTGGAAGGAGGCCTTGGGGCAAAAGTAAAATAATTCATGATTGTTCATTCTGCTTTCTCTGGCTCGTTGAGGGAGATAAAGTCCAATACTATTTTACACAAGGTTTACACTTGTGTGTGATGTTGAATGACAATTCCTGGATAGTCCAAGATTACTTAAACCTTTTCTCATGAGGGTTTGATGGGCTTGAAGTATGTACTGTATGTTGTATACCTCTGTTCTTGTCAGGTCATTCCTCCAGATTGTCTGGAGAGAAAATTACCAGTATTCGAACATCAAGGGAGGATATGGTTACCACAATTTCCACTTCTGGCAGGGCTACACTGTATTCCTCAGGCAGCCCCAAGCCTGAGTTACTTGCAGCTTTCCAAGATTTTCTGTGGTCACCATGAGGGGAGAGATCTGAGTGGCAAGATGTCACCAGTGGAGTCCCATAGAGGTCAGTGTTTGGACCCATTCTGTTCCTGATATTTGTAAATGATCTATCCATCGTTCTGTTAAAACACTTGCATGGCCAAGGGTGCCATCTGTTTCACATGTTCTGCTTAAGTCAGCAGTATTCTTGTGGACAGTGTGGACCCATTGTGCATTCTGTAGACAATCTTATAATGTTTATCAAGGAAACTGCCATGTTCTTGTGGTGCGAGTTATCATCTTGGTGGGAGTGCATGGCATGGTGTTTTTGCATCTGTTCTTATGTTATGTTCTTATTCTAATGTAACATTGGAGTATTTTCAAGATCCAGAACATTAATGTAGTTTATTCCTCATCTCAGGTACCCAGAAATAAGTGGTGCTGACATCCTGGTGGAGGAGAGCACATGTGCCATTTGCTGGGAACACTTGGAGAGTGGTCGCTGCCTCCCGTGTTTACATGTCTTTCATGCGTCATGTTTGCTGGCCTGGCTACACCAAGATTTATCTTGCCCAACATGTAGACATAAGCTACATAAGCCTGAACAGGTATATTTGTACTACTGTATATAAAGCAGATACAGGCATACTCTGTTTATCAATGGGGTGATGCTGTATAGCAAATGGGTGATGCTGTATAGCAAATGGGTGATGCTGTACAAGAGCAGGAGCATTAACAGAGTTGGTGGTGTAAGAGGTCATGATAACATTATTCCTATGGAAATGCATTCATGACTATCATAATTTATTGCCTAGACCAAATATTAGAGGCTCGTTGAGTTACTAGACAGATTCAGATGATTAACAGGATTTTATACCTACATACTTTAGGCCCTCAAATTCTTTGCATAGAAAAATACTTTAAATGTGCAAGTCGATAGATCCACACTAGAGTTAAACTCAACTGGAGTAGAGATTACTACCCACAGTTGTATGTTCATTGTGCTTCTATGTTAGCCTAGTTAATAATGGTGATATAATGTACAATTGTTTGTTGGAATCAAGATTATTACTTATCAACCTACATTCACAGTTCTTCTATATTAGCTGAGTTAAATAATAATGCTAAATTGTATGATTGCCTAATGAAACTGTGGAAGATTTTTCTAAACTGAATTTTTTTTTATCCAACAGAATGATTCAAGGTCACTATCTGGTTCACTGTTGGATGGTCTTCTTCCTACAAGTGAAGAAAGTGGCATTGGACAGGAAAATGGAGTAAGAGGTGGCAGAGGAGGTGCAGGTGCTTTCCCATCCCCAGCTGCTCCAGAAGGATCTCCTGGGATAGCAGGATGGCGGTATGTGTCATGGCTGCCAAGTTTTAGTGTTGAACAGAGCCACACCCAGCTGCCTCGTCACCATCAGGCCAATTCACAACCAGCCTCAACTTCTCAGTTGGATAGCCTTGCTAGACAGGTAAAAAACAAAAACGTGAAAACAGTATATAGCATATTGACACACTAGTGATCCCTCTTGGAGTCTAAAGTAGGCTGTCGTCGTACCATACCACTGGCAGCGCGGTACTATATTATCACTCAACCAGTGATTGCCATTTGTATGATTGTGAACTTGGAAATCAAAACTATTAGTTACATGTATTGAAGATGTGCTATTGCCTAACTAAATTTTATTATGTGTTACAGGTACAACAAATGTTTCCTGATGTATCATATTCACGTGTTTTGGAGGATCTTCGACACACTCATTCTTTAGAAATAACAATTGATAATATTTTGGAGCAACGCTTAATCTGTCCACCACCAATGTTCACTTCTGATGATAGTCCAAGGTATGTTACACTTGCATACCAATATACAATAATAATAATAATGCTCCACAAAATGTGCAGTACTGTACTCAATTATGGAGCCTATGGTTTGGGAGTTAAAACTAAAGCTGCATTTTATTTTAGGATGATTAGCAAAGATATAATGAGTAATAGGCATTTTTAAATCTTTACAGAGCAAAAGAAAGAGCAAACTGATAAGAGAAAATTGGTTGTTTAGTGTAATTAACACTTTGAGCCCCCCCCCCCCCCCCCCTCCTCCTGTGCAGCAAAGCTGAAAGTCGGCCGAACGTTTCCCATGAGCGAGCACCCATTGGCACACCCACAACACCCTCACACAAATGCGTGTACTCTTTTCAGTTTGATAACATCAATTTTTGTGTTATGATGTTCATTTTGGTATCAAATTGTTCGCAATATAATTCTCCAAAGAGAGATACTGTATGCATATAAAGTAAAATAGCCCAGTGTGCCACCCATGAGCGAGCAACGGCACTAAAATGTGTACTGTATACTGTACTCTTTTCAGTTTTCTTATGTCAATTTTTGTGTTACATCGTTCATTTTGGTACTGTATCAAATTGTTCACAATAGAATCCTCTAAAAGAATACAGGGGTACCTCGGTTTACGAATTTAATCTGTTCCTGGATTCCTTAACCACTGTATATGCATATACTGTAACATCAAAAGGCCCGGCGTGCCACCCGCACCAAACCTAAAAATCAGCCGCGTTCTACCCTTGGGTGAGCACACATCTGCACACAAACACCTGCACTAAAATGAGTATACTCTTTTCAGTTTTCTCACGTCAATTTTTGTTACATCGTTCATTTTGGTATCAAATTGTTCACAATATAATTCTCTAACGGGATATATGCATACAAGTTTAAAAAAAAAACTCGGCATGCCACTTGCAGCAAACCCAAAAATCAGCCAAGCATTACCCGTGGGCAAGCATCTTTACGCACACCCACAAAACCCGTCCTAAATTGTGTATACTGTACTGTTTTCAGTTTTCTTATGTCAATTTTCGTGTTACATTGTTCACTTTGGCATCAAATTGTTCACGATAGAATTCTCTAAAGGGTCTTGATAAGGTCTTGGGTTTTTTGTGCTCGCCATTCAGAGATTTACAGCACTGTATTTTTAGGCAAGATGGGACTACTTTCCTTAATTGAGTACTGTATTTTCCTTCTAGGCTGCAGCTTTCTTCCAATACTATTGTTTTGCAAGTATTAACATTTTTTTGTGTTTTTCTCTGTCTTCTTGTGTCTAGTGACTTGCCTACCTATTTTTGCCATTTTTCTTGGATATCTCCTATCGGCTTTTAGCTCCACCCTACAGCTCAGGTTACTGTTGATGATTTTTACAATGGTGAATCTGGTCTAAGAGAGCAACCAATTTGTCTGCCACAGAATTAAGGCTTCAAGTGTGAATAAAAAAAATTTTTCTGTGCATATTGTACAGTTGCTCCTTTTGTCACAATTTTTGCCTTCCCAGTGCTGTGCAGGATTAAAGTCAGGCTGAATGTGAAGGCAGCCCTTTGGTACGTTTACTCTGTTGAAAGTGTAGGTGCTGACATCTGGTGGTAGTCTGAGATAGTGTCCTGCTGGCCTACTAAAAATTAGCAGGGAAATATGTTTTGGTGTGTCTGAATCAGAGTATTGCCTAGAGGAAATTTTAAGTGTAGGTGAAAGAATCTAGGCAGTTCATTCTTGGGTGTATCGATAAATTACCAGTCTTCCTTCCCTCACTTGTAGCCTAGTTCCTGCTGCATGCACTGGGGGTGTGAGAGTAGTTATGGTCGTGCTATTGTTTGATCATATCTTTGTAATAACAGTTCGTGATTTAATGGAGCAACCAATAGCCTGCTCACAAAATAACTTTTCATTTAAAGCCTTATTTTTTCAGGTACAGTAAAAAGCTTTGCAATTCTTGTGCATATATCAGCCAGTCTATTAGCCCCGAAGAGTAGCGTATGTGGTCTCTTAATTTATTGTTGTATTTGGCAGATGGTATAGAGTGTAATTTTCAAATGAATGGCGTGGCTGACAAACATCCTGATATTATGGGCACTTTATGTTATGACTTTGATGGAAATGTGGGCAGGGAAGGCACAACCATAAATTTCTGTAATATGGACTCTTTGATTAATGCTGGTCTGTAACTTCCGGGTCTGGAACCCGTAAGTGCAGATGAAAAACAAAATTCAGAAAGGGTACCACCCTAGAATTTCTTCTTTCTGTTCATGTTATATCTGTAAAATTCATGTATATCCTGCCACGATTCTTGCTTGGCTCCTATTCACAGTGTCATTGCAGATATTTGATCCTTACTTCCATTAATTTTAGTTTCACAGTTTTGTCAGTGTTCTTGTGTCTTTATTTCAGCCTGTTAAGAGAAAACAATCACAAAAGAATAAAGGAAGAGGAAGGTGTAAGGGAAGAGGAAGAATATTTTCAAGATGCTGAACCGCTACCTTACACCAGGCAGAACATGCCGTTAGCACTGGACTTCTTGTCTACCACAAACACTTGCACTTCTGAAGATTCTAGTGACACAGAATCAGAAGGGTAAGTAATGGCTTATCTACCTATTATTAACCTATTTACCTTATCTCTCTTTCTTTTATTTTTACAATATCTTGGCAACTCTCCTTGAAGAGGGCAGTCATGACAATGAAGTCTGCAGGCAAACCTTCCTAAATATGATCTTGCCTGTTCTAGAAAAGAAGTTCAATGCACCAAACTTTGGGAGCATTGCAATGCAATAAAAAGCATATACATGTTCACTGGATATCTGTATACTGTATTTTGTATTAGATATGTAAAATACTATAGCTGTGAAGTGGAATAATGTTCTCTGAAAATTTCTCACTAAAAATGTGATTTTTGTATGTCATTATAATGTACTCTCATGATCCATTGTTGAAAGTTAAATATGCAGTAGAGATAGTTGTTGTAAAAGCAACAAGGCAAATGCTAAGGCTAATGTTATGCATTAGTAATCATTGTGCTAGTAATCACTGCATTAGTAGCGTGAACAACCAAATCTGCCAGGGGAAATGGGAGGGAGAAGATACCCGTGTACAGTAGTGACTGACACATCCAGCCACTGTGATCATTTCTTATCACTCTTCCTTCTACTTGGTCTTGAAGGAAGCCGGCCTTGGGTGAAAGAGGGCTGTGATGATCTCTGTCTGGAACCCGTAAGTGTGGGACTGGGAAGTCCACCTCCTGGGGCTCGTGCGGCCCAGGCTCTTGCTTCAGGATGCTGGGGTCGTTCTTGCCCTTGATGGGGTGGTTCTTCTCTGGCCTTGACCATGGCGGTCTCCGGATTTAGAGTCCCTGTACCTTCTTTCACCAACTTAGAGGTCAACTCCGGAGCTCGCAGTTCCTTGCGACGGTGCTGGAACCAATCGTATCTGCGTTTGCCTGTCCCTTGGAGACTTTTGGCGCCGTGGAGAGGGGGGGGGGATGGGGACCTGCTGCTTGAGTAACAGCTTCTCCGTATCAACCTACCCTGGCTTTACGCTTTGGAGAGGCCACTCCAGACCAACAACCAGAGCGCAACCTCATAGTCTCCTGAGACTAATGGATGCCTACTACTAGTAGCACAAGAAATGATCACAGTGGCTGGATGTGTCCGTCACTACTGTACACTGTCGTCTTCTCCCTCTTATTTCCCTGGCAGATTTGATTGTTCATGCCTAAGAGGTCAGCCTCCTATGGAGGATGCCATGCCCAAACTAGTGCATGGGTCTGTGACTCCTGTGTGAAGTTTGGGGATGGAGGCAGTCAGGGTTCTCCTTGCTTGGGATGCAAAAAAAATATGCATTTTTTCAGTGTGCATGCTTGTTTATTTGTCACATCACTAATGCATTTTCCAGCTACATTTGTCCTTTTGGATGCATTAGGTATTTGTTATTCTTGGCAAGCAGCTCCTGTCCCTGTTTATGTTTAAGAAATGGTAAGCTCTTGTGGTCATGGGTGTGGTTTGGGATGAACAGGCCTACCAAGCCCACACTCGCCATGCAAGTTTACTGGGTGTATCCTGATTGTTTCATGCCGATGGTTGTTTTTACTTGCTCCAGTGGTTGCTTTTACTGCCTCTCTTATGCCAATGGCTGCTTTTACTGCCTCTCTTATGCTAACAGTTGGGTTAGTGATCCTTTCCATCTTGAGGCCTGTGACATGTCAACACCAGAACTCTGTTTTGGCCAAGTCTTCGTTTTGAAGGAGTGGGGTTTCCTAACTGATAGGGATGTAATCTCCTTCTGTCCTAGCTACTTTTTCTAACACACCGCTACCCTTCCCTATCTTAGCCTTCCCGAGCCAATAATAGTGATATTAGGGATTTGTTTGGGTTTTATATGGTGGGCATTGAGTGTGGCATCACTTTGGGGTCATATCATCTTTGCCACTACTGGATTTTGTCCCTGGTAATTTTGGGATGGGGCTTCTCAGGTGGCTACTGCTGTGCAGGAATGCAGTTTTCAGTATGTGTTGTTTGCAGCTTGGTGTTGACATAAATAGTGTACCTAGGTCAGCCCCTGTGTGTTTTCTTAATTCAAAGTTGGAGTGGTTGGTGGTGGTTCACCTGGTCTACATTTGATCCTCTGTATCTTTCTCCTGTCATCTTCTGGTGTGGTGTGACTGGTGTATTGTTCCCCTCCTTTGGTCTGGGCTCTGAAGTGTTGAAGGGTTTTGGGACTGGTGTTCTTGGGTGCAGCTGGTCCTTCTCTAGGAGGTTGCCCCTGTCACGTTGGCAGCAGAAGTAGTTGAGCCGATGCTTCCCACTGGGGATCCGGTACAGATCCATCCTTATAGGAAATGCCTTTCTGTCTAGTGTGGAACATGCCGCTGCCCCATTTTTCTGGGCTTCTAGGGCTGGTGAGGACCCCAGAGAGGGTCTGCAGGTCCCCATCTACATGCTTGGTCTTCGGTGCCTCCTGCATTTGTTCTCTTGACTGTCTGAACTAAAGTGATATGTAACGGGAGTGATATCATTTAAAAAGTTATTATAAACATGTTTCTTAATGCTCTGAATGGGGGTTCGTTTGTGTCCTCTGTCAATGTTTGAGCTTGTTCCCTCAGCCTACTACTTGTATCCGTTATCCATGCTCTTAAAACGTATTACTCTCGTATACTGCATGTTTTTATAATTAAATAATTGTTTGATATTTTGGTGTTTTAATAAACACTATTTGGATTTCTTTCCATTATTTAAGTTGCAGTGCTTATGCTACACTATTATATTTAAAGGTTTCCTTCTGTAAAATGTCAGGAGTGGTTATGGACTTGGATCATGTGATGGTGGCAGTCGTTTTAGCAAGTGCCCACAAGAGAGAGAGCAAATGTTGGCCCAGCGCAAGACTGCTTTGCTCAACCAGGCCCGCCACCGCTTTGCTACTAGACCAAGAGTCGCCACTTGTAAGGATGAGGAGGAGTTGGTGGAGGATGTTAAGTGTTTGAATAACTCCTGAAGTGATCAGTTGGTGCAAAATTGGCCATAAACTATATTGTGAGTTAAAAGGATATGGTCACTGTTGGAGTAAACTTGTCCTTTCATACCACACCTTTATCTCTGGTGGTATTGGTTTTCTTTGCTAAGTTCATTTCCGTAATAAACCTTTATGAAATTGGAATTTAGTGAAATTGATGTTAAATAATTATAAATTTTTGTTTGATTGTCCCATGAAAGTTTAATAACACCAGGGTGGATTACAGAAAAAAGTATATAATGCAAATCTATTGTGTGACTGATGTGATTTGATTTCTCTGGAGTGCAGTATATATACATAAAAGTTCAGTCTTTATAGAAATATTAATGCCAAGTAGATGATGTGTGATAGGAGAAGCAAGGGAAAGAGAAATTAATAGTAGCATTCATTATTTATTTATATAAATATATATATATATATATATATATATATATATATATATATATATATATATATATATATATATATATATATATATATATATATATATATATATATTATATATATATATATATATATATATATATATATATATATATAAAAAATACATCTAGGACTTTCTCACCCTATTTATCAAGACTAAAGTTATTAATCATGTGTTTGACATTTTCATATTGGTAAATGTAATATCACACAAATGATGTATTTCTCTTGATGAACCTTTCTTTTTAATTACAGTAGTTATTTGCTTTCCTATAATTTTTTTATAAAGTTCAGATGATGACAAGGTCTTTACTAGTTTTGTTGTATTGAAATTTGCTCAGCATTTTAGTGCATTGTGTAGTAATATACATTGTTTTATATCTCAAATATGTAAACACTAGTGCATTATGTAGTGCAGTGTTTCACAACAAAATGTAAACATTAGTGCAGTGTTTTACAACTAAATGTACACATTAGTGCATTACGTAGTGCAGTGTTTCACAACTAAATGTACACATTAGTGCATTACGTAGTGCAGTGTTTCACCACAAATTGTAAACTTTTAGTGCATTGTTTCATGCCACATCTATAAAAGAGGCTCTCTCCACACTCCAGGTATAAAATTTTATGGTTTAAGAGTTTTAAGGTTGTAAGTCATAAATATTAATTGCAATAGAAGGAAGATGATTGCCCTTGATGCGATTGTACCAGTTTAAAGACCAAAGAATATGTAAGCACAACTCGAAAATAATAAATTATAGTCATAATATTTTAATGAAGTGTTAGAGCCAATAAAATTGTTAGACATTATACATTCTCATGTAAATTTTATCTTAGCACATAGGAACTTAACGTGAAAGCCATATTCTGTATTGGAACTACAGAGGCCGTCCTGCTTTCCAATTTCTATCTCTCGAAAAGTCCCAATAATTATTTTCAGACCCCTTGTCTCCTGCAAGCATGTGAGCCTTGGAGAAACTGTGGGCAATTTTTTGGGTGTCGACCAAGACTTCAACTAGCGGCATATGATGACTCATGACTAGGAAGTCATAGTGATGACTTTTGAGCAGAAAATGAAGTTTATCAAAGTGGAATCTGGCATTCATGGGATGATACCTTTTGTTAAGGCTTAAGATAAAATCTCTGCTTGCTATGTTCAAGGGGAGAGTGATGTATCAGTGCAGAAGAGAAATCGGTCAGCTTGGCTGAAATTACATGTTGCTGCAGTTGGTTGGTGATACAAGAAAATGCAAGATGAAATAAAGGTACCAGTGGCTGATCCAGATGGCCAAGCATTTCCCTATAGAAATGAGCATTATTAAGGCATGGATGTATAGTGATGGATGACAGTCTGCTGATGTAGAAGGTGTAGTCTACTATCTCCTAATTTGGGTAGATTGTGCTGGCCAAAACCCAACTCCACCTTATGTAGACATCATTCCAAAATAGTATGTGGAGAAATACCTGGATCCTTGGTGAGTACCCTTATTATTATTATTTCTATCTCCTCTATTAACATGCCATTTGTTCACAGTTTTTAGTGGACCTATACAGAATTGTAATAAATTTTTGAACATTTCTGGGCTGGCACTCGGTAGATTCCTGGTGCCTGAGGAGTTATTCCATTACAGTGTATTAGTTCCCTTTCTTACCCTCCTTCCCAGTGACAATTGAATGCTACCTCCGCTTTCTCTACTTTCATTTCCGGGACCGTGTTCAGGGTCTGGATTTGCCTCCCGTTTGTAATTTTCAGCAGTCTTGTCCTCTGACCACTCATTTATAGGGAGCAGCATCCAGCTCAAGTTAGGGAGGAGGATATAAAAGGTAACCAAGCTGGAGGCACCAGAAAGCTGCTGAGTACCAGCCCAAAAATATAATTTTTCTGTTTTTCTCGGACGGTTATACCAATTTATCTAGACAAATCTGGTTTTTCGGCTGAATTTCGATCCTGGTCAGTTCGGAAAGTAGGTTGGCCACTGTAGATCATATCTTAAGCCCACAAGCAATGTGATTACTGATATTCTCTGTACTTTTCAGTTATGTGTCCACTAGCAAAGCTCAAGGCATTTTTGTAATGTATTATTAGTTAAAGTTTTGAAATGCATTTTTCTTGATAAGTTTTATATGGATTGATTGGTTATTAACCATATTTTTAATTATTTCTAAGCCAAATTTTTATATATAAAGTAATTATATTTAATTGCTAACCCATACTGCATACTTCATTAGAGTCAATATATATATATATTTTTTTTAATTTTTCCTAAGCTGTAAGTGTCGGGGAGATCCAGATAAAAAAGCAATTAAGAGTGAGAAAAGGAAGGCATTAGTATGAGGGTGTCTTCAGTGAGAGTGTATTATGCAGTGAATGTAACTAGCCACTACAAGTTAGTTATAAGGAAAGCTTTACAGGTGGCACATTGTGGTGTAGCGGTCAGTACCTGCACCAACTTGCTTCACTAGCAGAAATGATCCAGGTTTAAAACCCGTGGGTAGGAAAGGATATTTGGTTAATGTTCCTTCACTGTTCGTTATTGTGTGCCCTCCATTAATTAGGACCTGGATGTAAATCACTTTGTCAGGTCATATTCTGTATTAAAAAAAGCCATGAAGATGGATTTTTTTAATTAAAACTTATTCACTATCATTATGCCTTTTAAGGAATTTGTATTATGGTTATATAAGGGAAGAAAAGGCAATTGTTTATGGGATATACAGTATTATTATATTAAGAGGTATCATAAAGTAAATGTAGGGAAATTTTAAGAAAAAATGCACAACAAACCCACAAATTGAGATGAAATTTATATTTCCTTTCGTCGAGCCTGGACCATGAAGCCTCAAGTGAGGGGGAAACGGTCAAATTAGGAGGTAGAAGTGGAGGTGGATCAGCAGAGGTAATGTTACATTAGTGAGAGATGAGAAGACTGCCAGGAAGGTTGTGTAAGTGAGAGGCAGGCACAGCCATGGGATAATGTCAGAAAGAGAGAGTAGGGGGAAGGTCAGGTCAAATGGAGGAGACAGGGAGGTCAGGTCAGAAGAAATTTAGATAGAGAAACGAGCATCAGAGAGAAAGTGTCACTTGACATGCTCACCTGTAAACAAATGCCAGTCTGAGTTGAATGCTGTACATGCACACATTTGGAATAATCATGTTTCTATAATTTATAAACCTTAGATTTCTCTAGTTATCTTGCCAAACAACTGTGCAGTATCGTTATTAGAATCCTTTGATGGAATATAATGTGTGTACAGTTGAAACCATCTGAAAGTGGTCCAAAACAAACTTTCACAAGATTTGTAATCTTATGTACAAAATAGGTGGATCAGTTTGAAATTTAAAGCACAAGTGGGAAGAGGGAGAAGTCAAAATGAAGTTGGGTGTAGAATTAACAGTATTTAGTTGGATGGTGATAAGTATTCAGGAAAAAATGGTAAAAAATACTCACATAGTTTGAATAAATAATGCTAATGCTAAATGTTGTGAAGGATAAAGATGTTTCAAGTCAACTTATTTGGCTCGGAAGCAGTACAACATGGACTAAAGGTGACAAATGAGCCATACCTGCTGTGAACTATAGTTTCCTCATAGAAGAATATAGCTATAGTACTATGGCATGGCATTATGAAAGTACAGATAATTTAGTGGTACAGTGCTTTGTACAGTAATACGTGGTGCTTAGTGGCACAATGTTCCAGCAATTGGCCATTGAGCCAAAATCCATAAAATACCTACCTACCTGCCTGCCTACAATGCCTGACAGGTAGCAAGTATTCAGATGACTTGGTAATTTAATTGCTTTGGATTAATGCTTATAACAAGGCAGTATGAATGAGCTGTTTATAATAGAATATTTATTCCATCTTTGTGAAGGATTATTTAGAAAGTAGAAGATTAGACTAGAGTTTTGCTGATTTCCCTGCCAAATTGGTGTTGCCTCCATTGACCTAGCAGTCACCGCTGTTAAGTTCTTCATACCTGTCTTGTAAAACCAAAAGTGAATTCCTTGCTCTAATTTCTATCCAGTTATTTGTGATGCAATACACAGCTGTTGGGGACATGTATGGTTAGCTACTAAGCATAGCAAATTACTCACCATAAAATGTGACCTGCCTCCTGTCACTGAAATAGTAGCAAAGTAATACAGTAGTAGTAACAGTAGCAAATGTGTCTTGCAAGGTTATATATTGATAACACACACTTAACTCATGGAAACTAAATGGAACAGACCCCTGCACCATTCTTTTAGCACTACATTGTTCCATTGATGTCATTCACCTCATAGAATGCCCTGATTTTCATGATATAATGAATTTTGCATTCTCCTAGTTATACGTTCCTCAGTAAAATCCTTGTCTTTCTGCTTTTGTATCTAGGAAATCTTGAATATTATGTGACAAAGGCTATATAGCCATTCTCGCTTAGTGCTTTCATTTGACAATTACTCACTTTGTGAAGGATTGTGAAAGGAAAATTGTAACTATGGATACATTGAAAATAGAGAAAATTATAATGAATTATGGACATGCAATGGATGTCATTTCTGTAAGTTTTGTGCATGAAATAAGGAATTTGAGGGGTACTATTAGGGGATTAGAAAATGTGGAAATGTAGACTTGCTAGGTAAACAAAATAGGTTTTTGCTAACAATGAATGGTAAGGGAAGGTTGAATCATTGATGCACTTACTCCAATACTGTAATAAAAGATTTCTACAATGGTGAATTGCCCTTGTGTCAGTTTTTACTTTTGTATAGCTTATTGACTTGTCATATGGCAAGGGTACAGTGTACTTAGTATTACTACGTGGAAGCTTAGTTCTTAGTTGTAATGAAATCATTTGCTCTTCCACTGATGTTACATTCATCACACAACCTCCTCGTGCATATTTTATTAGATATATATTAGTTTATAATTGGCATTTGTGTGTGTGTATATGTGTGTGTAGGCAGTGGCTTGTAAAGCTGGTGCTGAAGCTACCTACATGTACTTGGTTATCCTTTCTCTTGTGTTTCTCAAGAGTTGACAAGTGGAATGCCTTACTTTGCTACAGTGCAGTGATAAAGCCAAAGCATGTTGTGGAAAGTAACCAGATATTTTAACTACGAACTTTATCTTTGCCTCAGTGATAAGACTAATGAATTAGTGATTACAAGAAACTTGAAAAAAGTCAACATTCTCTTGCTCTTTACCTTGGCCTTTGCATTTTCATTAAGAACCAGGATATGCCATATTATATTTAATATTGTTCTCTCTCTTTTCTACTATTTTTATATATTTTGAATATAGTTTTGTAAATACATGTCATTTTACATTTATAAAATGTAGAATCTGTTTACAGTTAGGTTATAATGGTCTTGGTTTAAATTTTCAAATTTCATTGCCATAACAATATACTGTATGACTTAAGACACTTACTGTCAGTTTCATCCCTTCTGTATTTGGTTTCTTAAGAGTATTTAAGACAAAGAATGTTCCCAGTTACCAAGTATAAAATGGTATGGTTGAAAAAAAAAAATTTGTACTGCATGTGTGTCATTGATGCTGCCTGCATGCTGGAGCCTAGGTAAGCTTTGCATCTGGAATTTGTTATTACTGTACTTAATTGGAATTTACAAATACTGTAGTTTTTTGGCAAGTCATTTAGCCCAAAATATTATAAATGCGAGAACTTTAATATTTTACAATAATTTGCATTTATAAATCTAGGATGATCTTAAAAAGAATTATGATCAGGGATATTGATATTAAAAAGCTCAAAAGATGTTAACAATTTAGTGTACAAGTTGCAATAATGAGGCTGGAATAAATAAACTAAAGCTAAACATTATGGTACTATATGTTACGGCAGTGCCTTAAAGCACTTCCCGCCCACACGCCTCAAACTGAACATCCCGTGGAACGTTTATGACCAGCCTGACACCAGCAGCTTTGTAGTCACTGCTTTGGTAAACATCAAAGGTTATCCTTTAAACAGGAATGTGTGTAGGATTGTGTAAATAATGTATAACCATTGTAGACCCATCAGAGAGCTGGCATTTTATAAACTAATCTATAAGTGCCACCATTTTTCTCCTGCCTGATTCATAAGAGTCCAGAATACAGGAGCTCACGAGTGATGTTTCTGTCTGCACAAGGATATGATGCTTTTAATTTTCATTCTTTCATCTTGTACATTTTAAGTTTAACATACTGTATCCTGGATCTTCATATGGAATACAGTGAGGCATTTATAATGGATAAATTTGTTTTAGAAGAAATGATTTATATATGATAGCTGATGTCATTGTTCGCAGTAGTACGAGTAAATCTGTTATTTGAATATTTTTTCCAAAATCCTATTACTGCCAAATATTTTGCCAAAATCAATATAAGATAAAAAATCTTTGAAATTTCAGAGGAATAATGGCATATAATATTTGTTAATTATGCAAAAGCTTAATAAGGAAAAATGAGAGTTTTCACATTTTTCTTTATTCTGACCATGTTTTATTTTCTTTGAATTTATTTCCCCTGTGGAATTTATATCCTGAAACTGATTGCATCTGTGTGTTCAATAAAATCTGATAGGATAACAAATGTGTTATAATTTGTCTGCCTATTCTGCTGCTAAGAATCTTACTTATCTAAGTATACTGTGCTCTGGGGAATGTCAATATATGGTAATGGAAAAACGGTACAAAAATACATCTGCAACAGCAAGGGTAATTATGCACTTGGTAGATTTAAATGAAACTGTAATGATACAATGGAACCTCGACTTCCGAATACCCCTACTTACGAATTTTTTGAATTACTGTACTACCCCAATTTCGATGGAAAATTTGACTTGACTTACGACCTTTGCCTCGACTTGCGACTTCGTTGATACACACGTGGGTCGACGGAGCGCGTGGTTCCTGGCAGCATGGGTGACCCTGCTTCAGCTTACCAGACCGCCCTCTTAGTGATGATCACGCTTGAATTCTTTGTAAACAATTTAATTGTTTTTCTGCATTTTTTGTTTTTTTTGAACATAAAAGTAATTATTATATATCACACCATGGGTCCCAAGAAAGTCAGTGGTAAGGTTCAACTTAAGAAAATAGTTGAGTAGAGGCAATCTCTTCCTCATTAAAAAAATGTGTGAAGTATGGGAAGAACTGCAGAGTTTTGTTGAAAAAACTTGCCAAGATAAAGCTGTAGCAGGCTGTTGCATTGACCTTTTTAATGACAATGTGATATTGCACTACAGTGTTAAAATGTAAGGGAAAAACAAGTGTCTTTAAACAGATTCTTAGTAAGACAAGCAAGCAGTGAGCCACAACCAGGTCCTAGTGGTATGCCTGCAAAATATTGGGGATAGTGTACCCCCAAGAGAAGTCATCACTGCCTGGTGATTTGGACTCCCCTTCCAAACACTTAACACCTGTCCTCCTTGCCCCCCTCCTCACCATCTCCCATATGCCAACAAGTCATCAATAAAGGTAAGCTATAACTTGTACATACTGTACACACATTTTGTACTATAGTGTGTATTATGTATGAAATGTATTTTGAAGTTAATATTTTTGGGAATTTGGAATGAATTAATTCAATTTACATTATTTCTTATGGGAAAATTCGTTTAGAGTTACGACCCGTCTCTGGGAACGGATTAAATTTGTAAATGGAAGGGCTACTGTATTGTCATATAAATGACTTAGCTTTGAACATTTAAGTCTTGGTGATCTGTTCATGGTGTATATACCAATCATGTACTTCATTCTTAATTCATAAATCACTCCTAGTATTTCCCTATCTAGCCCTCTTCCCCCCCCCCCCCACACCCCTCAAAAAATGTAGTACTGTATTAAAGTTCTGAAAAAATGGAGGAAAAAATCCAAATTTCAAAATTCATGCAAATTGCAAGAGGTTACCATAGATGCCAATATTTTATTTAAAGAATTGCACTGTGGCTAACTTTGACTGCCCTGTGATACCAATATCCCCCACCCACTTGTGTCATCTTGAAAAGTTGAGTAAGGTTAGCCCCAAGCATGTAGCCTCCTCCTTTGTCATTGTGTCCATTCTCTCTTATAGATATACATATATATATATATATATAATGCATTCTATGCAAAGGATAGTTACTCATATTAAACTGTCAATATCTTTACTAGAGTATTAAAGTCAATTACAACACGAGCTGAATTAGCTTGAGGGAATGCATTTCCCGTAGCTCTATAATAATCATCACAGGAAATTTAAAGGCAACTATTGGATCTTTTTGGTAAAAGGTAATTAAAAACTATAATTAGTAAAAAAAAATTGCTGAATATCATTAGTCACCTATTAAAATAGTCTACAGACAACAGGATAAAATCTGTAAACTGGGTAATCAGGCACTTTTGTATATGCATATTAAAACATTTTAAAAATTACAGGTTAAATACAATTTCAAATCAATTTTAGACTAATATGTATCATATAATGTGTACAGTATATAGTACATCCCAGTGGGCACTTTGTCTGGAGAGTGACTTAACGTTAAAAAGGTATGTAATGTCTGCCACTTTCAATCAACGGTGCCCAGTGTGATATACGAGAACCACGCGTACAGTACTTTTTAAACTAGTGGTTCTTAAAGTTTTTGGGAATGGCCCTATTTTCAAATACAGTACTCAAGACCCCTTTGTGGGGTCGTGACCCACCATTTAGGAACCACTGGGGTAAATGGTTCTACTGTATATCAACACTTCATGCAAATGCAATACCTGTTATAGCACATGGATAATTCAATTATAGTGTTAGATAATGGCTGGGTTTAAACATGCTTGGTGACAATAAATGTACCTATGGAAATGGATTGGGTCCTTGTCCTTCAATGTAATTTCATTGAAATCATATGATATTAATATTAAACATGCCAGTGATCAGCAATTCAATAGTATTTTGTATAAATTATTGTACATTTAATATTTTGCAATGGTCATAACATATCAAAACTTAATTCATATAATGTGAAAAGTATTGGAATGCATTTATAAATTACACATTTAATGAAAAAAAGTTAGGATTATTTTTGCATAGGTTCCACAAGGAACAGGATCACAAAATAATTTACAGTACTCTTCACTGTAATTGCTGGAGTACTTTTTCTAATAATTAGGAGTACTTTTTCTAATAATTAAAGAGTAACACAATAAATACTGTATTTAGGTACAGTATTTCTTAAGGAATAGCTTAATAAAATGAACAGTACAAATATATCACTACAGGATAACCAAAATTAATTACCAGACTAAATGGAACGCATTACATTCTTATTAATTTTTGCTGACTACATTAATTTTTTGTACTGCATTGAGGATTAGCATGGAACTGTAATTTGCATTGCTAAATTATTCTGTAAGCTCCAGAGGCTTAACTTTTTATATCATGTGCAGAATATAATTTTCATATAAATAACAAAAAATTGACAAATTTGGTCATGCAAGAACATTTAAGCAAGAAATTATCAAAAGAAGGCACCAAGCTGGGAAGACTACATAGCACTGCAAAAATATTTAATGAAAGTACTAGTATTATGCACAATGGGATAAGTTTTCAACTAGTACTGACATATCCATCTTCCATATTACCTGTCAAAGAATTTTACTGAAGATTTACCTTCATCCAAGTACTGTACAGTACACTAATACTATACCCTGTATTCACAATAAAATTATCTTCCCATGTTTTACCAATTGTAATTTCTAATTGCAACATTGAAATACATATTCCTGTAAATTCGTATTGCTAGTTAGCCGACAAGTGATCTCTAGGTCATGCCATTTAATAAACATACTGTATGTACAGTATGGGGGAAACTTGCCATCACACTCTGAGCAGTGTGTACTTACCAATTGGTTTTATTAGGAAAATAATCTTAAAACATGGTTGAGAAAACTTGTGTTGGTAGTGATATACTGTATTAAGTGTACAAAAAAAAAACTAAATCCATAACCTTTTTTTTTAATCACTAAAAGCTCGGATAAAGGAGAAACACCAACACAGACTAGCCTTATCTTTGGTGCACTGTAAAACTTTGGATAAGTGGAAACATTATTATGACAAGGCTAGACTATTAAAATGTGAATTCACCCCAAAGGAAATTGTCCATAACAAATGCAAAAAGTTGTTATTACCAACATTGTAAAGCTGCTGTTATTATTGGTTAAAAACCAATGAACATACATTTTATGTTAACCTTATACAGAAGTCTTCATAAGGTTTAGTAAAGTGTGTAGGGAAGCTGTTAGTGCTTATGATAAAGCGGAATTTGTTGAGAAATTTGCATAAATAATTGAAAGTAACATTAGTGCTTGTGTTTAAATGTAATGTAGACGAAACTGAACTTTTTCGAGAAAATGCCTGACAGTTCATACATGTCAGAGAAACAAAGCATTCTGGCTTTCAAGTAACAAAATACTTTTCAACACTTAATTGGAGGAAATGCTGCTTGTGATTATAAACTGGAATTACTTTTGTACCATTCAAAGATGCAGAGCTTTCAAGGGTGTGATGAAAGTGCCTTTGCTAGTTGTGTAGAAGTTTGCTGTCAAAGTTTAGATAATTAAACCTACTCTTGAAGACACTTTTTTCAGCATTTGTGCCTGAAATTAAGCTTTTATTACTCCAAAATTTGTATTTTAGAATTTGCACCTGGGTACCCAGTTTAACACAAGTCAGTCTACCTAAATTATAACTTCACAATTACTTGTTTTTTTTACTCTCTAATGCAGCCTCATTGGTGTTAGTAATAATTTCCATTGCCTGGCCATTGAGGCTTATCGAGGTCTCTATGCCAACTACTTACCCTTCCTAAGATGCAATCGATAACAATGCCTAATTCCTGAGCACTTATTTTACTGCTAGTTGAATGGAGGCATTAGGTTTAAGGAAGCTTGCCCCCCCATCCCTTCCAGGGATTGAACCAATTAACATTGGACCAGGGATTTGTAAATAGCAATGACCTTATACCTGACAGTAAAACCATGGGAGGGGACAAAATGCTACCCTCAAGAATTTCTGGAGATGGGATTATTGTGGCTGCTGCAAATGAGCAGTGTGACTATATCTACTTGGATAATAGAGTATGTAATCGTGGAATTCGAGATGATCTTGATGGCCCCGTGGCAATCTCGAAGATCCCTGTTCCCAACAGTGAGTTTTGGTAGAACAATAGTGCTGACTCTTGCATTCTTGAAGGGTTCTTGGAGACCTAAACTGAAATCTTACCAATGCACAAGGTAGCTAGGTAGTTAGCCTACTTGATACTTGCTTGATGGGGTTCTGGGAGTTCAACTCCCCAAGCCCAGTCCGAGGCCAGCCTATTCTTTAGATTGGACTTTTGACAACAAAATCAAACTGGGAACGAAAAGCAACATCCATACCAACCGATTCAAGTACATGCAGGTGGAGATAAAGTATTGCTAGCTCGTCAGTATAAGAAACAACAATATTTGATTTACAAAGGTGCACCAAACATAAATTGTAGGAGCATACAAAGGAATGGGGGGTTAAACCAAGTATGATTACAGTGCCATGCCCCTCTTTCCTGTCATGACAAATAGCAAAGAAATGGGCATAAAAAACAAGGAATTAGTCGCCATCAGTGATGTGATAAGACACTTCAACCACAAAAGTGGACGAGGATTAAGAGTGTATCTGGGAACTGGCACAACACAGTAAAAGTTATGAAGCCATGAGGAAGCTCCTTTCCTTGGGAGAAGCAAAATAAATCTTCCAGATTTGTTTTGATTCTCACTATGATCACTACATACAAATCAAACTATTTTGTATGTAGTGATCATGTTGCCTCTTTTTTTTTCCTTTATCTTCTAGCTTTGGCACATTTCACATCTCTAGCCTGACAAGTGGCTGTAGGAGTATTATGTCTAAGGGTGAAGATGAGATGGTTCTGCGCTATCATTTGATATCAAATTTACATAAGTTGACGAGTGTCTTGAGATAAACTGCATGTGTTGGACTGACTGGAGGAGGAGGAGTTACATCAGGTGACTTGACAGGCTTAAAATAGTCCTTTATGCTCACTTGCCTTCACTTCTCCATGTCAATTTCATAATAAATAGCACTCTTCATAGCCCTTCCAATTTGTAACCTGCACTGATAATTTGGATAAATTTCTGTTGCATTGTCCTGTTAACTCTAAAGCACGTAAGTTCTTTGTAAGTCATCTCCTGGGCTTGTGAAGTTCTCTCACTATTGTCTTACTGCTGCCGCTGTTTCTCGGCTTCATCTGTTAGCTACACCAAGTCATCTACAGACAGATCTTCCTCATGGGACTAAATGATCTTCCTGCAGTCATCACCTTGTAGATTAATATATATCCTTTCCCTCCAAACCTTACTGCAATTTTAACTATTTCAGTAGCTGCAATATCAAAATTGCAGGTCATGCACACATTGATGCTACACTTTCTGCCTGTAGCATCTACAGTCTGGTGCTTTGTAAAATTATACAACCATCCCTTGTTGGCATTTAAATTTTCTTCTTGATGGTTAACCTTCTTGCACTAGGACTTAATATATCTTTCATACATTTTCACATTTAAATTAAGCAGCAGCCTCTTAAGATTCTGCACTTCCATCAATGTTGCCAGAAATATCTTCAGTTTCTCAATGACAGGATATCTCGGTCACAAAATACTTGACTCACCCTGATGGTACAAGTACTAGATCTGTTGATCTTACAGTGGCAGCCTGATGGAAATGGTAGCTCTGCCATTCTCCAGCCAGCATATTATATTGCATCGTTTCTAACATTAATATCATCTTTCATCTTTGCATGTCATCACCTTTTGATACAGCAGGAGATGCAGGATGTTACATAGGTGGCATGATGCAAGAAGTCAATCCAAAAAGCTTGAAAATAAAAAAATATGGGAATGAGGAGGTTCAGATGAAGAGCCTGAATGCACTGCTGTTAGTGAGGAATGGTGTGTAGTGCCCTCTGCTCACCATGCTAGCAGGACACTATTGCTCACTTAAGACCTGCGTATACACACTAGAAGGGAATTCCCAGCTTTGCTCAAGCAATAGACACCACACCTTTACTACACACAACCATCATCACTATCTTCATTAACAATTTTCAGTACCTGGGCACCACTGGTTATCCCTTATCTACAACCATCATCACTATCTTCTCTCACCACCACCTTACCTCTCTTCCATCACCCTACCTCTCCTTCACCACCACTGCTACTCTTCACCCCTTTCTCTTTACACTGAAACCATTTTCACTACACACAGTGTGTTTATATACTACACAAAACTAAAATTTAATCATGTAGAAAATATGCTTGATGAATCTTAATGAGGATGGAGTCTAGTATTTAGTAAGCTTGGAAATTAATATAATTTACCATCATGTAAAAGAACGGGTGGGATGAGGGTCAACAATAACCCGTCTGCTACCATTCCTGGACAAAAGACCAGTCACTGTAAAGTTTGGTGAGGCTAGCCCCAAGCATCTAGCCTCCAACCTCAAACTCACATTCTCTTTTAGATATAGATTAGCTTATGTGTCTCTTAAAAATCCTGTAGCAAACAATTATAAAACCATTTTCGTCTGCATTTTCCATCCTGAAATTATGAGCATTCCCAAGCATACTCCAGGGAATATTACAAATCACAAATTTGTTAGTGTAGGGGGTGCTAGTCCTCAATGTAGTATCTTAATATCTCCAACATTACCATAGACAAAGTAATATACATACTATTTCATTTTAAATATTCTAACTGGATTTTCAAAATTTTCATCACAAACATTTTAGAAACATAACTGGCATGCACAAGTATGCTACAAAAAGCATCAAGGATATTTGCTTAAATTTTAAACACATTTGTATCTTAATTGTTCAAAGAAAATTGAATGGGTAAATGTAAATGTGTTTTAAAGTGTAGAGGTCACAGTGTTTTGATTCCTAATATTGTCACACATATACAAGTTTGATAAATCCACCATGATTAACTAGCCCAGATAAATTGGGTTTTAAATGTATTTACTTCATATTAATGTTACAATATCACACATTTTACAAATCCAATACTGAGCAAGCCATAAAGTCAATGCCTTATAAATCAATTAACAGTCCTAAAGACTCCTCGTCTATTATAGCATCCTAGAGGTAGAAAAATGAAAATTGTGATGGATTATTGAATTGTACTATTATATACAACAGCCTTAAATGTAAAGATAATGAGTTTTCGTAGAGAAAGCCCACAAGAAATGGCCTACAGTATAATCTAAAGCACACGAAGTGCACTCTTTCAAACAGCATATAATTCATGCAGCTCAATAGCAGTAACAAATGCCACCATTAGAATAACACTGGTTATGTGAATCAGTAACATAACTTTTAAAATAATTTGGTAAATATAATTATAGAATGTGTACGTAATAAACTAATTGTACGTTTTAGTCTGTATAAATAATGTCCAATTCAAGAATTATGAATATTATTGAGGTTAATCTCAACACATGATATTGTGCAGTAATCAAAAATGGTGACTAAGAACTTACATAGCCAGTAGGCAAATTAGTCTCTCATATATTTATACTGTATATATATTTAAATTTTATATATATATACAGTATATATAAAGTACAGGGACCTAGAACATTACAGGTTCATGCCACCAGGTTCCGAGACTCTGGGGAAAATGTGCACTTAAGTTCCTAAATGATTAGGAGGTGGGCGAGAAACTCGTTAGGCAAACTAAGAGACTCAAGAGCGGCCAGTTTCCTGTTCCGGCACCCCAGTGTTGTGATCAAGAGAGGAAATGATTGCTGTATCTTGGGCATGCACCCCACCTCTGTAACCAATCAGTTACATATCTGATTGGTTACAAAGTGAACATTGAGAGGAAATAAGGGGAAGTTTGTTTCCTAGAGGCTGTAGATTTCTTTGAACTCTTCTGACACCGGGCAGGAACCTAGGATGCAACAGGCATTTCCCCTCTGGATCACCACAAGGCACTGGAAGAGAAAACTTGCTGCTCTAGGGTCTCTTGTAGTGACAATGAGCCTGGAACCATGATCCTTAAGAAACCTTCTTGCACTCTCTCCCCATGGACCAAGGGTCTCAGATGATATTGGAACGAAGTTGTACCGGTGATCTATTTCCATGTACAGTACTTGGTTGACTTGTCTCTTTCTCTGTGTGTTGCCGTGGCCCCTGCTTAGCCGACAGAGGTGGATGTATGCGATTGCCAGGGGTGGATACACAAGTATAGTCCCACGCCTACTGTCTGCCACCCTTCCAAGGGTGCAGTGTGATTCCATCTGGTCGGCCGGTAAAGCTAACAGAGTTACGGTTCAATAGATTGTGGGGCTCTCTGCCAGACACTGGACAGAGGCAAGGCTCCTCTTAATGATGTCACTGACTTCGTTGTGTCGAGAGTGCCAGCCGCCAATTTCCCATAGTGCAGACCATGCAATCCATATTTGTCTGCCTCTGCCTCGCCACAAATACACCTATGAACGGTGTGGATAGGAGCAGCAAGGCAGAGAGCGACTGCAATACGGAGCTGCTGCAAATCAAGATGTGTGCCTGTTACAGACATAGGGACTGCCAAAAGGAAGTCCACTGCATGGGAAGCCTGCACAGCTGTGAGACGTGCACGATCACTGGGGGTTGTTGTTGCCTCCACTATGGCTTCTTTGTCTACAATGGGACTGTCCCAGCTGGATTGTTTCTTGGTTCTCAACATCATTGGTCTGAGTGCTGGGTTTGCCATGGTACCCCACTGTGTTGCATTCCCTGTAGTGGGGTCCTGTATACCTGCTAAGTCACTAGTGTGTGTGTGTGTGTGTGTATATATTATATATACTATATACAGTATACATATACATATATACACACACACACATATTTGTATGTACATATGTCGTACGTATGTGTGTGTGTGTCCTAATAACCTTCAGTTTTCTTTTCCAAAAAGAAGCAAATAATAAGCAGCTATTCTACCCCACACTGGGTATAATAAATTACCGTAATGTTTTAGGAGAATAAATTTAAGCTGTGACAGTTTATTAGAGAATATATTTTTATATTCATAATAATCTTTTGTGGTATTGTTGTGAATAATAATAACAGCAATTATGGAATTTGGTGGAAATTGATATGCAGTGATTCATACAAGCACAAGCTTGCTTTAAAATTCGATTTAAATCCAGTAAAATTAGTGAACTGGCTACATATATATATATATAATTGTAAAATGTATTTGAAAACCCATTAGATATATCTACATATAAAGTTAAAATAATAATAAATTTAACAAAAAAAGTTAAATGATAATATAAAATACTGTATTAATATTCGTCACAGACTTAAATATTGACTGGCTCGGTTCACTGATTGATAGATGGAATCCTAGGACTAGAATGTTGTGAGCACGAACTGCTTGGCATCTACATACAGCAGTACTGTACAGCACAGTATATGTATAAGTTTTTTCGAGCGTGCCTCGGAAAAAACACCACAGTACTAGTTTAGGTCAAGCCTTATTCTCAACGTGGCAGATAGATTCAAGGACTGTATGTGATAACATGCACTAATTAAGCATGAGGAATAAGACTGAACAGAATATAGATCATGAGATTGTTACCCTGTATGCATATAATTGAAGTGAACCCAGTGGCAGATATTGCAATAACCAGTCAGTCCCAGTGGCAGACACTGCAATAACTGACAAGCCCCAGTGGCACACTGCAATAACTGATAAGCCCCGGTGGCAGACATTGCAATAACCTTTCAGTGAACCTAGATTAACCTTTAAATATGTCATAAAATTTATTTTCTTACCAATTATTAATATTTTTCAGTAATATTACTGAATTATTTTATTATTTGTTAAAGTAATATTGAAATAATATAACAAGTGACCATGGAAACTTAAACACTTCAATAGAGTCTGCCTCAATGTGAATTAAATGACTGAACTGTAAAGAAAAAGATGGATATTTACATACTACACAGTATTATAATTAGCAATTAAATTATATACTATCTGAATACTGTTCATGCAACTATCCTGAACCTTTTAGTAATAGATGATGATGCAAAGCATAAGAGTAAACTACTCCAAGTTGAGGCAGTTCTAGGAAGACTTGTCACTCTCCTCCTCCGAGTCATCTTCATCGTGGTAATGAGTTACTCGCTTAGGTGTTTCTGCTCGCGCGTGTGGCACCATGGATTCTGCCCGCTCAAGTACCTAAACACAAGAGAATATTTGGTGAATTATCATTGTAATTTACACACACCGAACACATTACAAAACTGTCAGTAGTTCCAAAGTGTTATACGACAGAATAGAGTACCGAGAAGATGGGACGCCACAAGTGTAACTCTCATCCTGTAACTACACTTTGGAAATTACTCATATTACCGTACAAATACACTTTAGTGTGCATGTGTGTGCACAAACATACGAGTAGTTTGAATTATTGGTAACTAAATGAAAACTATTATAGTAAAAGTGTGTGATAAATAAGGGTCTATATACATTCCTCTAATATTTTGAATCACAGTATTTTATATACAAAAATTCACTATCTTCATTTGAGTAAAGTAGTTGTAACTTGCTTACCCTAATCTTTGGTCTCTTGGACTGTAGGTTATCTGGACTATCTACTTGAATACTGGATGCTCTTGAACGAGTTGAAACTGGTCCATCTCCAACTTGGAATCGCTGTTCATGAGCTACTGTTGATTCATGAGGCATCTGGAAAAATATGCTAGAATTTATTACAACAAAATAAACAAGTGATTGTGTCAGTTTCCACTGTACAAAATTTACCATGCATGTGTACTCACCTAATTGTGTTGGGGAAGTGGATGGGGGTTGAGCTTTGGCTTTTTAGTCCTGCCTCTCGACTGTCAATCAACTGGTGTACAGGTTCCTGAGCCTACTGGGCTCTACCATATCTACATTTGAAACTGCATATGGGGTCTGCCTCCACCACATCATGTCTTAATGCATTCCATTTGTTAACTACCCCCCCTGACACTAAGGAAGTTTTTTCTATTGTCTCTGTGTCTCATTTGGGGATTACTTTTCCACCTGTGTACCCTTGTTTGCATACCACCTGTGCTAAATAGTTTATCTTTATCTACCCTATCAATTCCACTGAAAATTTTATAGGTGGTGATCACGTTTTCCCTAACTTCTGTCTTCCAGTGTCGTGAGGTTTAGTTTCAGTAGTCTTTCCACATAGCACATACCCCTCAGCTTGGGGACTAGCCTGGTGGCATACTTCTGAAAAAACTCTGAACTTTGTGTGGTAGTCCTTGTTTGTCTATGATGCTATAGGTTATATGAAAAAACTAGGGTTAACATCCAGAGCATGGTTGAATTTCTTTTTTTTGCTGACCCTTAATTCTTCCCAAGTTGTGCACATGAAAAGATCCCCAGAGTCAAAATTAATTAGTCTTTCATACACCCATGCTTGAAGTTAGGTGACATTCTCAATAAATTACATGTACTGTAATTGAATACACTACTTGTCCTGTCACATGGATAAAATTTAATACAATGAGTGACTTTAGTAGGTCAGGGTCCCGGTAGTACAGTCGGGTTCGTTTAAACGCACAATTGAGAATTCTGGGTTCAAATCCTGGGCGGGACAAAAATGGTTGGGCACATTTCCTTTCACCTAATGCCTCTGTTCATCTAGCAGTAAGTAAGTACTCAGGAGTTATTCAGCTTGTTGTGGGGTTGCATCTTGGGCGGGGTCAATAATTCAACCAGGGGGGAGGGGGGAACCACAATACAAGCCTATGACCCGACAGTACTACCGGGACCCTTAGTACCACTCACGTTACCCGTCTGATAAATAATACAACTCATACACATTGACTGTATTAAAATATTCTAACCATTTTGATCTTGAGGTCAAACAAGGAGTACCTCAGGAGTCTAATACAGTAGTTTATTATTAAATACAATTCACTAACCAGCATGGCCGGGGCACGAAACATGTAGCTGAAGGGGTAATATATCAGGTTGAGGAGTGTAGAGGCATACACATCAGCGTATCTTGATACCTGCCCACCAAATGAAATGTAAAATTAATGATATTATATTTTATTGTATATTAATTTCCCATTTTCACACACCACAAGTTTTAGTACAGGTTCACTACATACTGAAAACATCAGAGTACTGCAAATACTGTACTGTAATATTATACAATGAAGTACTGTACATTGTACCCCGAAAAAATCTAAATTCGTCAATCCAGACCAGATCCAAATTTCTATATAATTATTTTTTTAGGGGAAGCAATTTACTAATACAATAAATATTACCCAATTTTTTCTTATAACAAATACAGGTATATATAATAAATATTTTGGCATATACAGACATTTCATTTATAAAAATGATTTTGTGTACATAAAATTACAACATGCTTAAAAAATAAAGCATTGAATGTTATGAAAGACCACCACCACCTGTTGGGTCCCTCCATGGCTTCATGAGATACCCAGCTGGTAAACTCCAAACCCAGGTTATTGCACCAGCCTCAATGATTCACACACATTGGAAGCCAGTGCCAAAATATGAACTATGAAAATAAGGGGGTTTTCAACACCAAGCCCAAAGGACCAGGAACCATGGCAGGGCTGACGACCAAGGAAGAAAACCCTGCAGGCCCAGCAAGAACAAAATGAACCAGGCAGGTTGAATGGGGAAAACAACAACCTGGAGAGAATAGATAAAAACACAACCAACTCCAAAGAAAGCAAACACAGCTATGAGACATGCACCCAACAGGAAACAATATGACAAAACGGAAAATTTCCCAATGCCTATAGTGAAAGGAAATGGGCATTTGTAGGAAGACTGAACAACTTGCAAACTAATGGGAGCACACATCAATAATTGCTCAACCTGATAAAAACAAGGACCGACGACAAAGAGAGACCATCTGCAAGAACATGCCAGCAAACCCACAGTCATAAAAGCCCAGCAAACAAAAAGCCTGAAAAACACTGAGACCATCCACAAACTAGTAGAAACCTGTCCCCACCTGCAACATGAAAGAAAGCCCCCCAATGAGCAGGCAGGGGCAGACTCCAGAACGTTCTCTGTGAAGAGACCCAGGCCCAAAGGCAGAGGCAATGACAGCAGTAACTAGAGAAGAGAACTCTAACCAAATGTAGCCACTGCAAAATAAGAATCGGGGGCATACACAACAAGAAGGCCAAAATATATACAAATGATACCTAAAAAAGGAACAAGCACAAATGCAAGCCTCTGTACTTTGACTCGAGTCCAAAGAAAGACAAAATCTTAGCTGATGATTGAGCCCAAAGAGCAATGTATAACCTTGAGCACCAGGGATGTGAATGAGGGGAAGCTAACAAGTGTGGATAACTAGCAGTCACATGCTGCTAACAAGCATGTGCATTTCATGATAGGGTTGCTAATGTTGTCCATGCAGTTGCTCATTTTGTTGCATCTTTCTTTTCTGTTTTTTTTTCCTTTGGTTACTGTAGTGGTCTAGAACCCCTGATTCCCCTTGCCTCAATTGATGGGGCCAGACTCTGGTACTGGCCTCATAGGCTCATAGGCACTTATGAATCATTGGAGTTTACCAACTCAGTTACTCAGAAAGACACAGAGGGGCCACTCCTACAATAATTTCTTGACTTGCCTTTTTGTAGCACAAGCTGGCCTTGATAACCCAGAAGCAGTAAAATCTAGTTCTGTCATGATTATATATATATATATTTTTTAATTACACATACTATAATTTATAAATACTCACTTGCGTAGAGAAATGGCTTTGCCGAGAGCCAGATCTGAAAACTGATCCGAGCATGCCATAACTCAGATCCATTTCATGGGTAACTTCTTTGATGGCTGCTCTAACCTTAGTTAGATCTGGTCGCTCATAGGTGCTGGAATCCAAGTTCCTAGGCAAAAATGTAGTAACAAAAAAATAATCTTCTATTACATAATAATGGTTATTAGGCTCTATCTGTTGACAAATGTAACAAGTCTTCTAAAAATTTATATTACAATTCTGTGCTAGCTATAAGCAATTAAATCACTGCAGTAAAACAAGTTTGCAACAAATGTACAATAATAGTTGTAATGGGTCTAGTTTTTGGCTTTAGAATGCAGAAGAAATAACTATGTAATCTAGCAATAAATGTAAACCATGCTATTACCCAATATAAAAAATCCAGCATTGAATGTACTGATTTTTTTTTTCTTTTTGGTGGGTTCTCAGTGGATTCCTGTTGCTAACCACCTGGATAGCTCCACACACACCACACCAGGCCCTTGCAAGTCATGGAAAACCTACTGGGGACCAGAGGCCAAACCCTGGCCCCCTCATAGAGGTAGAGAAAGCACAGGATACTTGATCACTCAAAGAAATTAGCCATCAGAAAGTTAGACCAAGACAAAACAGACAAAAGAGAGGTAAACGTTAACAAAACAAAAAACACACACACACACAATGCAGTTAGGTAATTCTTAACTGCCAAAAGAGAGCCATCTTGTAGTCTCCCAGAAAATCAGCATTGAATGCAATGAAACATCATTGGTGTCCTGGACCCTTCCCTTTCCCTTTCTGGTGCATCAGTTTGCCTTTGGCTGGTTCCTGGCTGAGGAGGGTTCATTGGCTGAGCCAGCAGTTTCCTGCCACCCGGCGGTGGGGAAGTGGAACAAGTGGCTGAACTACCCAACTATTATGTCTTGCTTTCTGTTTTTGTTAATGTTTGTCCATTTTATCTTGGCCTACCTTTCTGGTGGTAATTTTCTCAAAGCACTCTCCTCGTCTCAATGAGGGAACTAGGTTTTGACATCAGGTACCCAGTAGGCTTTTCATAGCTGGCAAGGGCCTGGTTGATTTGATGTGTGTGAAGCTATGCAGGTGTTAACAACAGGGAGCCCAGTAGAGCCCTCCCATTCTTCACTTTGTCAATAACTTCTGAATTACATATATAATAAATTAATAATTCATCACTGATATTAAATGCAACAGTATACCAACTGTTATGATGGTACCATTCAGTAAACACAAACTTTTGGAAAAATGACTTACTTGTAAAGATCGCCCAACATAACATCTAAGTTTTGGAGTTTGGTGAAGAGTGAGCATTTTTCAGTCCACACATGAAGTTCCTGAACCAACTCTGGAACTACCAAAAAGGTACGCCAACCCCGAATCTTTTTACTTTTCAAGATATCACCAAAGATGTGGTCTCCAACATAAAGGACATCTTTCCCTTTGGCCCCAATAAGTTCTGTGAAGACATCACAGCTTCCTGGAAATTAAGTGGTTGAAGTTATACATCTAAGTACAGTATTTAAAGTATATTTTTACCGACATTAAAAATTAAGGTGACACATGTAAATTCTTCACATACATTTAAGTGCTTGTGACCTGTCTCTTCTATTTCATCTCATCTGTATGGATGATCTGCATGAAGAATCTGTACGATATAATCCCACCACCATCAAAAGTACATCATGATATAACACCCTCATAATAAACACTAAAAAAAGCAACTTACACTTGCCTTTGCAATATATAATAGACAGTAGCCTACTACCACACACAAGATATTTCATTATTAATTATATAACTGTATTCTACATTCATTAATTTAATGTTTCAGTAATAGTGTCATTATGTATGAAACGTGTATATATCTGGGGTTTTGACTTGTGGTACAAAAAAGATGAAACTCCAAGGGATTATCCAGCATTAGAGAAGTGGTTATGATGTCGCGGTTTGTTTTGGTTCCCAAGATTTCAGCGGCCATCACCGCATCACAGGGGACTAAGCACACAGTTCAAAACACTGGGAAGTTGGTTGAACAAAAGAAGGAGTTCAGAAAATTCTTCCAATGCCATGTGATAAAATAAAAAATACTTATACAAAATGTGATTTGAGTTTTATTGCACAAGTGAACTAAAGATTTAAAAAAAAACTTGAAAATGCTCCACTTTTGAAGAATGTACTCAGACCACTTTCCCTGCTCTTTTCCCCCTTCCAGTTACATCACTATGGAAGTAGAGATGTTTGAAATGCTCCCTGTGACTTCATTACAGTGTGTGTCTACCTGTTGTTACCGACAAGATCCTGTCCCCCAAGGCTCTAAAAGGATTTTATCTTACGAAATACCAAAGTGTGATAGTTCGGAAAAAACTATTTTATGTTCTGGTTCACTAATATTTGTATCAAATTAACACAGGCTCACTGATGATAGCAGTAAGATACTGTACTGAAAAAATATAAAAATAATAATTTAAAAACACACCTCCGGAATAAACCTGTCCTTGCTTTAGTTTTCCAGTGTGTGTTCCCAGTTTGAGCGCCCCAGTAGTAGTGTCCACTTGTCTCATGATTGTTCCGTCAAGAAAGAAACCCGGTTTGCCTGCATCAACACCTATGAAATCAAAGAAAGTTTTCCAGTCTCTAACATCACCATTCTGTAAAGGAATGGAAAAGGTGGAGTTGTCAATATTCATTATTAGTACAATATAGGATCTGATGCTATGAATGTTATCATATAAGGTCCTAACAACAGTATAATTACCTTAAAACTCAGACTATATTGTTCTGGATCCTTTTGGGGTTTTGAAAAATTCCAAACTTTGAAGTCCTTATTATTTTTATCAGTTCTTTTCCTTTAAAAATACCTATTACATATTTTTGTGCATATTTACACTCAACCAATACAAACAAGGATTTATATATTTTAAAATTACACACATTATAATAAAATTTAAGTTTGCACTTACCTTTTAGTACCACAGAACCAACTTCTTCATGTAAACTGTTGGGATTGAACTCATCAAAATTTAAGCTACTGAGCACTTTCTCTCTATCTCTTTTTTTTTTTTTTTTGCTACCAAAACTCACTTTCCTGGTAATGAATGCTGAAATCTATAAATGTAATTGTACTTTTTTGTTAGGACCAAAACTACTGTAGTGCCAGCATAACACACCTCTGCCAGCACAATTGCTTTTCAACATTAATACTGCCTTTTTGTCCACGTTACAATACTTCTTCTTCAGTGTACTATTTAATGCCAAACTACTCTTGACAAGTATTAATGATACCAAGTCAGTTCTAATACCCACAATTTAAAAGTTCAGGCCCTGACCAGTCAAAAAAAAACTCTCACAAGTCACTTTAGTAAGAACTTATTTCCCCCCAGGCACTTGAGATTAAACAAACCAGGCAGCAGCATCAACACTACAACACTGCATCTCAGCCATCCACTTCTTAATGCAAAGATTCTTTCATACTAAGGTCAGCAGGAAATGCTATGGAGAGTGACTGAGTGGCTGGGGAAAAGGGTATGTTCAGATTTTTTTTTTTATACCATCTCAAAGCCTTTTTTTTCTTTTTTTGAGATATATACAAGAATTGTTACATTCTTGTACAGCCATTAGTACGTGTAGCGTTTCGGGCAAGTTCCTGGAATACGATCCCCACCACGAAGAATCGTTTTTACAACCAAGTACTCATTTTACTGTCGAGTTAAACGGAGGCTACAGTTAAGGATTTGTGCCCAGTAAATCCTCCCCAGCCAGGATACGAACCCATGACAAAGCGCTCGTGGAACACCAGGCGAGTGTCTTACCACTACACCATGGAGACTGGTACTGTACTGTATTTTGAACTAATCCCCTCGGTCACCCCTAAAGATGAGTACAGTATTTGATATGAAAGGTGAATCAAACTACAAACACTAATAAAGTGAAGCCCTGCCTGAACTGCAGCACAGTGCCTAAAGAATCCTGGAGGTCCCCAGAAAATCTAATGAAGCTGTGCCAATGTGGTGAGAGCACAGGAACCTTAGATTCATGGCTCAGATCAGCCTAGAACTAAACACTGGTGGATTTGGAAAAGCCTTGGCATATAATGGATGGTGTAGGTACAATCTGACCTATGAAACCTCTGAGCTTGGATGTAGACAAGTCACTAAAGAGAAGAATAGATTGAAGGTGGCAAACGTACTGAGATCATGAGGTTGAAAATAAACCTTAAGTTAACTTAGCTTAACCAGTCTGCAAAGAACCTGGGAGAGATGGGCTTTAATACAGGGGACCATGATGTGAGTAAAGAAACAGGGACTACAATCATAAATGGTGAGAAGCCAGGACATAAATATGCAGGGTAGTGACCAGATAAAAGGGGAAAATTGTACTGTAATTTGGGATACACAATCCAAGTTTCAATATCTCTGAAGAAGTCAGGAATCTCATTCCTTATTAGAAACCATGCATTTAGATGCAAGTGCACATAACTATCTGCCTTTAAGAATACACAGATCTGGACCAAAGAACCAGTCTGCCATATGAGTACCCTGGTATGCTGAGTAAATGTATCCTGCACTGTGACATGGAGCTCCTCGAACTACCACGATGAGTTTTCCTGGATGGCTGAGAGGAGGTTTTTTGGACTGCTGTGAAGAGTTTCCTGGGCTGCAATTTTATAATAGCCATCTCGCAAGCAAGAATAAGTACTGTAACGAGTAGATAATAGTCTACCATTCATTGAGGTGAAGAATGCAACATGCATAATGGGGCAACTTGCTTCAGATGTACCAAGTATCTGTATTATTTACCTTGTCTGAAAAATTGAGAAGGTACTCCATGATGGCATTTGTATACCAGTATTCTGAATTGGTGAGGAGGAAGACCTTTGCTCCAGAATCCCTCAGTCTGTCCAGGAGGAGTGGTAGACGCTCATCCTTGTGAACATATTCATCTACACATTCCACAGTCTTCTTCTTCAGGTCTCCCTATTGATCAGAATAAACAACACAAATGTGACCTTCAGACAGCATACTGTGAAGTGACAACTAAGCAGCACCAATGTTAGAGATTGTTTTTAACTAGAACAATGAGAAACTATTGAGGTATTCTGGTGGGATAGAACTCGTGTCCCTGGACATTCCAGACACACACACACACACACACACTACTCACTGAACCTTGATGAGCTTATAATAATAATTGAATAATTCATTGTGTCGGGGGACAGAAAGCCAGAGTGTATTCATACAAGTTAGGCTTATATCGAGGTTCCTCCCCCCCCCCTCAAAGGTCAAATTACTGACCCCACCCAGGATGGAACCCCACAAGAAGCTAACTAACTCTTGAGTATCTACTTACTGCTAGGTGAACAGAGCCCTTAGGTGAAAGAAACTGTGCCCAACCATTTCTGTCCTGCCCGGGATTCAAACCCGGAAATCTCGATTGTGTATCGAGATCGAACCCGACTGTACTACTGGGACCCTAAGTATTAAACAGTGTCTACTTCTGCTTAAAAGTATCTCAAACAGAAGTTGTACGCACTGCTAGACAGGGGTGTGCGAGTCTTGGATGTCCACAGACTAGAGTTCTATACACATTGCTTCAATATTTTTCAGACACATCACATTATGTACTGTAATTTATTGTACACTAAAACAATCTTTTTATGGCAGCAGTGGGTAATGAAGCATGGTTTAGTTGGTACGCTTATTTTGATATAATGCTGTGACCTTGACGTTGCTTGCTGGCATTGATATAGGTCTCTTTGAAGTAAAAAATATTTAATATTTATAATTCTGTCTTAAACTGCAGTCAGTGTGCAAAGTTTCATTAAAAATGGTCCATAATCATTTGAAATATTTAGATAAAATTCATGAATAAATAGATATATATATATACCTACACTTTTAAAAGTATAATCTTTGTGTAAACCAAAATTAATTAATTTCATAATTAAATCATTTATTTTTACAAGCTAATCAGAAGAAAATGCTAATTTTTATGGCATTACCTTGCTATAATTGCAGAAAGCAAAAAAAGTTTCACATACTGCACAGAATACATGAATCACACATATATATACATATAGTACTGTAACACAGTACTATTGCCGCTTCATACCTTCATATGAACCCAGTCAACAGCTGTTCTTATATCCTGGAAAATGCTTTTGAAGCTCATATATAGATCTCCAGATTTGATGCCTTCAGACATCTTAACATACTGTGGAGAATTACTAAAGAAGTCAATGAGGCACGCGATCATGTATATCTCCGGCAAGTTAAACAGTGTGTTCATCACATAGATCCTCGACTCGTCCAGCTGGATAAATTTGTTAGGATATAATTCATAAACCTCTGATCTGTGGGAGAGAAAATGAGAAAGATCAGTATTACCAGCTGAACAATACTCGTCTCCAGAGTTAAAACTTCTACAGAAAACTAACGAGTGGGCACAAAACATAATACAGTAAATGCATGTAAGAGACATTACAAGAGGAAGTACCCCTCCCTACCCCATAACTACTCAGAACAAAGTACTTAATTTTTTTGTTTAGTCAAACTTCCTTATCTACTAGTGTGATCTTGATTTAACTAAGAGAATGAGAGAAATAAAAGTGCACATACACACACACAAAAGCAAACAATTCCAGCTATAAATTTATGAAAAGTTCCATTATAATGGCTAATAAGGTGTGCTGATGGTATCATCATTTCTGCTTACCACCACCAGCACCTCTATTAATCAGACCTCTTTTTTCTTCAAAAAGCAATGTATTAGACAAGCAGGGCGACCCCATATCATTCAGTGTTTTCTGAAAATGTATTCCCTATTAACATAACTATGCTTATGAAAAATCTGCTTTTGGTTTATTCATAAGTCTACAAATGGCAGACTTATGAATGCCTTTTCAGAATGCATCCCATTCGTAAGATGGGGATTGCCTATAACCAACAGTTCCCAAGCAGGGTAGAATTACCCCCCTGGGGGAGGGAGGGGGATTTGGATATTCCAGCAGAGGGGAACAGAGAGAAGAGTTTACCAAAGTGCCACTAACACTAGTAGCCTCGACGAGAACAGGAAACCATGGCTTGACAAAGGCTTCCCCCCTCCCCACCCATTTGCCTCATGATCTTTTCCAGCTGTACTTTAAACATTAATCGAGTTTCGTCATTTATAGCTTTGGCGGATAATTACTTAAGCGCAGTTACAGGATGAGCGCTACGCTCGTGGTGTCCCATCTTCCCAGCACTATTTGTCATATAACGCTTTGAAATTACTGATGGTTTTGGCCTCTACCACCAAGCAGTTTTTGGCCTCCACCACCAAGATAGGCAGTTCCATGGGTTTATAACCCTGCGGGTGAAGAAACATCACCTGTTCTCAGTCCTATACAGTGTGGCTTGCTGAGCTTGAAACCGTTGCTCCTTGTTTGTTAAATCTGACCTTTGGAAGAAATTTTCCAGATCAACATCCTCCAAATTGTTCAGTATTTTATAAGTTTCAATGAGATCTGCCCTCTCATGCCAGGTTTGCAGTGTTGTTTGCCCTGTGGCCCTCAACCATTCCTCGTATGAGAGTTGACTTGGCTCTGGAATGATTTTTGTTGCTCAGTGTTGCACTTGTTCCAGAGCAGCTATGTCCTTGTGAAGTTGTGGTCTCCACACTTCTATACAGTAATCCAAATGGGGACACTCCAGAGATGTATACAATTGAATCACTACCTTCTTTTCCTTAAAGTCAAGGGTGCACTCGATTATTCCAAGTGTTTGTTTAGCTTTTTGGACTGCTGCCCATACCTGCTGTGAAACTTTCATTGAGTGGTGGATTTTGACTCCAAGATCCTTTTCTTTATCAATCTGCTGTAATGTAATGCCATTTATTTGGTAGATGTGGCATGGGCTGTTATGCCCCACATGCAGGGGTCTTGCATTTATCAATATTAAAAAGCATTTGCCTGTCATCTGACCATCTGTGTAGTTCATGTAATCTTTTTGCAAGGTTTCAACATCATTATCATTTTCCACTTTACCATAAATCTTTGTGTCATCTGCAAAATTGATGATGTGTTTTGTAATATTCTCATCTATGTCATTGATGTATATGACAAAAAGGGTTGGGCCGAAGATGGACCCCTTGTGGTACTAAACTTACCACATTTTTCCAATCGGATTCATTCCCATTTAGCACAACTCTTTTTTTTATTTTTTTATTTTTTAAACCATTGTTTTATCAATTTTAGTATTCTTCCATTTATTCCATGTGCCAGTAATTTCCTTGCCAGTCTTTCATGTGATACAGTACCTTATCAAAGGTTTTGCAAAATCCATGTGTACAACAACAACTGGAAGTTCTTTGAGTAGCTGGTTATCATTCCAAAAATGTGAGCAAGTTTGTAAGGCGGGATTCATTTTCACAAACCCATGCTGCGTCAATTTTACAAGATTGTTCACTGAAAGATTCTCTCCATGAGCTTGCAGATGTTTGATGTCAAGCTGATTGGACGGTAATTTTCCCCTAAGCTCTTTCTGCCTTTTTTTTTAAATATAGGTGGCATTTGCATATTTCTAATCTAGCGGACTATATTTTAGTCAAGGGATTTTGTGAAAAGTAATTTTAGTAGTAGGAGGCATATTCTTCTTCCAGTTCCTCTTCTGCCAGTCCCTAAGCTTTATACTTACTGAAAAACCACATTAATAGCATCTGCCATGAGCAGCACAAGGGTAATGCAATTTTCAATAGTCAACAAACATGTTATGGATTAGTAAAGATAGATATTATCTACATGAAATTAACTCTATAGTATAACTTACGGTTTGAAGAACTTGAATCCATGAACACACACCAGAATGTTGCCAAAACCATCTACTTTGAGAAGATTGCCATAGAGCCGATCAAACCACAGGCCTCTAGTAATGCAGGACAAGATAAAAGCATTAGAGCCCAATCTTCACACATACTTTAATGTTTTATACATTGGCAAATATAGTATGTATATTTACCAAAAACTGTCATATAGATAACTAATAATTCTTAATACATACATATTAATAATTACTGTATTATTAATAATAAGACTAAATATATACCAGAATAAATAATGTACATCATAATACAGCTAATATATTCTAAGGTGATATACTGTATACCTTATGCCCAAGAAACACATTTTCTTCAACACTTGATGAGATAAATCAATAAAATGAGAAGCTATCACTAGAGTAGCACCTACTTGGCAAAAATGGCCAAAGGTAGTTTAGTGCAAGTTATAATGTGGGGTTAGGTACTTTGTATTGAACAACCTTAACTTGAGTCTAGCCATGGCCTAAATCTCCTAGACTTGACCATGGATGCCTGATCGAGGACCGGGTCGCGGGGACGTTTAGCCCCGAAATCATCGCAAGGTAAGATATGAATCAAATTAAAAATATTTACTTGATTTTCGGTGAATTTCATAAAATTCTGCTCTTGGGACTGGTTATCTATGTTTGCCTGAGTTTACCTGAAAACCTTACCTGATGTTTATCATACAGTACCTGAGCTTGTCTATCCAGCTGTCTGTTTAAAGAGCTGAGCAGACAAGCTCCTTTGTGACAAACAGTTGCAACAGCACGACTATGAAAATTACCAGAAATCAATTGGTGCAACCCAGATGCCTTTAGTATTCTTCTGAGGTTGATGACAAGTGGGGCATTCTGTAGATATCCTTAAACTATGGTATTTGATTATCCTTGACTTTACAGTGCCTTGGCAAACAATCATAAATGAATAAGCTGTAAGAGTTAGGAGGCAATTGTGTGGTAGATCTGTAGGCAAATAACAAACATTTAACCCTTGGGCTGCAAAATGTGATAGTGGTTGAATATAATGAAATAGGCCTTTGCTCAACATGTGACCTTCATTTGTAAAGTTGTGTAATGTTCAATCAAGTCCATTAACTTCCAAAACTGGCACCTGGAACCAGCAAATGCTGCAATCTGTTAGCAATAAATTCAAATGTAGTAGTGTAAAAAGGTGAGAAATTGGTAACAAAAGTTAAAGATGATCCCTCAGAAGCAACATGGCTGACCATAGAGGAGACAGGAAAAATGGGAAATGGTACTAGAGTCCCAGATCACCCCCCCCCCCCCTCCCCCCACCTGGAAGGAGTCAAATGAAACTTTTGTCAGTTGACAACAAGGAATCCAAATTGTGCCAATTGGGATAAGACCAAATCCTTGACAAGCAGACAAATCTGGTAAACTGAGAACCCATACCAGTCATTCATCAAAGTACACTGAAACATGGATGTCAAGAACTGGAGGTGACAAAACACTATCTGAGCAAGTCTGGTGAAGATTTTGGGCACCAAATTTAGCTCAAGCATAAGACAAGGTGGTAACATATGTGGCCTACTTTTAACCTCAGCCAATTACTGAACTGTGGGTGTATCAAAACATGCCAGAAAGCATTCTGCAGATCCAAAGAAATGAGCCAAGACCAGCTCAAAACGACCTTGTCAAACTTGAGAAATTGTGGTCATCCAGAAATGTGGATAAGAAATCTGAGTACAGTATTCAGAAAGGAAAGAGAAAGGATGAACCTAGGATTGAAAAACAGCCAAGACATCACCCGAAGGGGTGAAGTAACAAAAAAATACTCCCCTGCTCATCAAATCATAAATGATACAGTGTAAAGGGAAAAAGTAAATGGCTGTGAAGGAAGCCGGAGCACTATATAGATAAGATCAAGCCCAACAAAGGCTCCAAGACATGAGGTAGAATGTGCAAAACATCTCAGATGACAACCACTAAAAGGTCTCCCGATGTCTTCTTACCACTCCATCTCTGAAGCTGACCATGAGAGGGCTGACAGGAGAAATACTGTGAGCTCCCAAATCTGGAACCAGTGGCACACCTACCTAAACAAGATTACTCTTGTAGGGAAATGTGAAAAACATGCTATACAAAATTTTCATTAAGCTATAACAAGGTCACATAAGCTAAACACATGTAAAATGAAAAGCCTAAACACAATCCTCAAGTGTAATGAAAAATAAATACTAAGCATGGCTGTCCATGGGACAACAAAGTCCAAAGGAGCATTATCTCCACTTAGCTCAGTGTCAGTCCTAGTAGAGGAGTAGTGATGTGCTTGATACCAGTCAAAACTGTTTTGCTTCACCTGTACTTTCTGGGCAGTATTATTTGGCTTTGGGTTAACCTCAAGATTCCTGTGCTCCACTTTTCTCTACAAGCACATGTAATTCTGGTCCTGGTTTTCAGTGGGCTTATGCAAATCATGAGGCATGGTAGTTTTGCATTTACTAGCCATGACCACTTATCACAACTGCTCCTGACCCATGCCTGGTGGCAACACACCTGATGAGGGTGAAACTAATGGGAGGGTTATATACCTAAAATTAGGGCAACACACATGCTGGAGAAAGGTGACACACCGTACCTGGTGGGAGTGGTGACATACCTTGCGGGGAAAGGAGACATTCTGTACCTGATAGGGAAGGTGACACTCTGGACCTGGTAAGGAAAGTGACATACTACTGTACCTGGTAGGGAAGGTGACATACCTGGTTGGAAAGGTTGGGTCATATTCAAACTCTTTAATTTCCTCCGGGTACCCCATAACAATGAGTCGCTGTTTGAGAAAGTTGAAGCCCAGAGTCTCATACTGCGGCGACTTGTACTCTGAGGAGTGGGTGGTAATCCATTATTAAGTCATAACCACTCAATACTAATTTATCTCATCTAGCTTCACCACTTATTCATTCTCAATACAATAATCATTATCAAAGTTACTCACTTTACCAGTAATATTACATGATATTCAATATGTGACTCATTCTCAAAAGCATTCGCTGATCTCTCCTAACCCAAGAGAACGTACACACAAATCCAGATTTCCAAAGCCTTCTCATTTTGCTTTAAGCATTTATATTCATAAGATAATATAACTTGGATCTATAGACCATCAAAAGTAATTTGGAATACACAATCACCTTGTAGTAGTTCCGAACACCTAACATGTCGTGAACACTTCAAACTTTGTGAAAATGATCAGCGCACAAGTACTGTAATCTACATTAAATAGAACGGAGCTTGATAGTAAGTAGATAGATTTCACTCAATCATATTAATTTGATCCTCCTCATTTCCAAAACTTTTGAGAGACCTGTGATGCAACTTGTTATCTCTAAAAAACTAGCTTAGCAATGAATTAAAGGCAGAACAGAGGCAGGGTGTGAGGGTATGACACATACAGGCTGTGAGACAAGACAGAGGCAAGGTGTGCAGTACCGTAGATACAGGGTGTGGGGCATGACAAAGGTAGGGGTATGGGGCACAACAGAGGTAGAGGGTTTCACAAGAGTGCACCTGCGATCGTGTAGTCCATGTCGAAGCCATAGAATCGGATTTTCTCAAGGTGGAGACTGCGGTTGACGAACACTCTGAGGAGAGAGGAGTAATTTAATGATGAATATCCTGGGGGAGAGGGGAACACATTACTGATGAGCACTCTGGGGAGAAAGGATTACATTTAGTATGAACACTTGCAAGCCAGAACATCTTAATTAATAGTATTCCAACATTTCATAATAAATTGTATATCAGTGTAAATATTTATATTATTATTAACAGTATTTTTAAACTGGTCTGAATTACCCATTTCTTTCTATCTCTAAAACATAGAAATCAATCACGAGAGAAGGATGAGCAGACTGCATATTCCTCGATTGTTAAAGAATATATTTGGTAGTGCTTCACATATGAGACTTCTACTTATGTTAGATAAACAGGTTACTTCATCTTGAGGAGTCCTAAAGTGAATGAGGGAATAAATCTTGGGGAGGAAGCATAGGGTTACAGTATGAGATACCGACCACTCACAGTCTTCAAAAGAGAACTTGACAAGCACCTCCAAAGGATACCTGATCAACCAGGCTGTGACTCATATGTCAGGCTGTGAGCAGCCGCGTCCAACAGCCTGGTTGACAAGTCCAGCAACGAGGAGGTCTGGTCGACGACCGGGCCGCGGGGACGCTAAGCCTCGAAACTTCTCAAGGTAAGGTAGGTGTGCTATGTGCTGTACTAGGCCTAGGAATATGTAAGATTTTGTGTTTTTTGCTTCATTTTTTATTAAAGAATTCCTTACGGGTCAGTATACTACTATATAAAAACTAAGTACGTACGAATTCACGACTACTGACGGACGTCACAATAGTACAATCACAATGTACAGTACTACTGTATCTAAACAGGAGGATGGGTTGGATAAATGCAAAATTTTGAGGAGAGGAGTGAGAAAACCCATACAGCAATACAGAATAAAGGGAAGACAGATTTCTGCATCAGAAAAGCAGAATAACCAAAAATTAGACAAACTCAAAGCTAATGCCAAAGGCACACAATAGCAGGGAAACTTCATTGACATATGCCAAACTGACCAAGGTCCACATAGCTTTAAAGATTTTGGACAAGGGAACCTTTCTTAGTCCTATATACAACCTATGTGAGACCTACTCATAAGCATGAGTTCACACAGGAAAACAACAAAACAGAACAAGATCTAAAGATATGCAACATGGTTCATTCTTGAACATTAGGGTGTGAGCACCTATTTATGTGGTTGTGTTTCATGCATGAGTATGCCCCCAAATGCTTCTGCCCTGCAATGGGAATTGAACCAGAGACCTAGCCCCTGTGACACTGTCTATGCTGAGGTAATGCTGGATGCTCAAGTGTAAATTCAACTACCATGTAGTCAATCATAACTACTGTACAACGACTGTGATCTTAGAAGTTTCACAGAGTTCACCGTTTATAACAACGAATAATGAAAACAAAAAGAGATGATCCTTCCATGATGACCTGTACTGTATATAATTGGTTTTGTTGGGGGACAGGCTGCTAGTTTATGTACATACACATTAGGCTTATATCAAGTTCCCCCCCCCCACTCCCACTCTCACCAAGGTCGAACTACTGACCTTTCCCCAGGAAGAAAGTCCACAACAGGTGACTAACTACCAGGTGTACCTATTTACTGCTAGATGAACAGCAGCATTAGGTGAAAGGAAATGTGCCCAACTATTTCTGTCCTGCTCGGGATTCGAACCTGGGATTCCCAGTTGGGAGACAAAAAAGAACCCAACAGTTAACAATAGGAAGTGATCGCCACCCAGCGTCAACTGTCAGAACCATCCTAATCTATAATCATCTATAAAATCTATAATATATACTATCTATAATTATCTTTCATGTCAACCTGTGTGTTGTTATTGTGAACATTATTTATCAATTACCTCATTTGCCGTTAGGAAATACTGTACAGTACTACCATTCCAGTATACAGTACCATAATTGTCAATTATTTTCAAAACTTTCAACAATTCAATAATATTCCCATATCTCCCTTAATGTTACATATTTTATAATAATGCCTATTCATTTTTTGCTTTTTTTCTTATACCCTCCTTAAAAGCTGTATATCATTTGCAGAATGTCTTGAATTTTTTTTATGTTAGCCTGCTTTGGTTGGTATTGTCTACCTCATCAAACCTGTAAACAATTCAACTTTTTTACCTTAAATTGTACCGAAACTCGCACTGCGTATTAGTAGCTTTATGCAATGTACTTGTCTTACCTATGTTATAATACTTCATTTACCTCAGGGCCACTAACACTCTATTGGCCTCTATGAAGACAGGAAGCCGACAGCTTGTCAATGGTCAGGCCATTTTTCAAGCTGAATTTTAAAGTTCAGCAGTTTTGGCATTTACGGCTTTGGCGGGTAGGTGGTTCCATGGAATTATAACCCCTGTGAGTGGAAAAACATTTCTTGTTTTCAGTCCTACACTGTGGCTTGTTGAGCTTGAAACTGTTACACCTTGTTTGTGTTACATCTGACCTTTTGAAGAAGTTGTCCAGATCAACATCCTTATGTACATATATATATATATATATATGCATATGCACTTGGGTAAAAAAAATTATTATTATTATTATTATTATTATTACAGTACTGTATTATTATTATTATTATTATTACAGTACTGTATTATTATTATTATTATTATTAAGGTCCTAGTAGTAAAGTCGGGTTCTTTCTCAAATCGCAATCGAGAATTCCGGGTTCGAATCCCGGCGGGACATAATTGTTGGGCACATTTTCTAATCGTTTAATGCCCTTGTTGACGTAGCAGTATGTACTCAGGAGTTTAGTCAGCTTGTTGTGGGGGTTGCATCCTGGGCAGGGTCAGTAATTGGACCTGGGGGAAGAGGGGAGGGAACCTCAATATAAGCCTAACGTGTATGAATACACTCTGGCTTCATGTCCACCAACACAATGAATTATTCAAATTAGTATTATTATTTTTATAGCCCCGAATTTGATTCCACCTATACCCATATACCCAGTTCAGTGCTCCACCTACCCACTATGCCCAGTTTAGTGATCCACCTACCCTCTATGCCCAGTTTAGTGCTCCACCTACCCAATGTATACAGTTTAGTGCTCCACCTACCCACTATGCCCAGTTTAGTGCTCCACCTACCCATAATGCCCAGTTTAGTGCTCCACCCACCCACTATGCCCAGTTTAGTGCTCCACCTACCCACTATGCCCAGTTTAGTGCTCCACCTACCCACTATGCCCAGTTTAGTGCTCCACCTACCCACTATGCCCAGTTTAGTGCTCCACCTACCCACTATGCCCAGTTTAGTGCTCCACCTACCCACTATGCCCAGTTTAGTGCTCCACCTACCCACTATGCCCAGTTTAGTGCTCCACCTACCCACTATGCCCAGTTTAGTGCTCCACCTACCCACTATGCCCAGTTTAGTGCTCCACCTACCCACTATGCCCAGTTTAGTGCTCCACCTACCCACTATGCCCAGTTTAGTGCTCCACCTACCCACCATACCCAGTTTAGTGCTCCACCTACCCACCATACCCAGTTTAGTGCTCCACCTACCCACCATGCCCAGTTTAGTGCTCCACCTACCCACCATGCCCAGTTTAGTGCACCACCTACCCACCATACCCAGTTTAGTGCTCCACCTACCCACCATACCCAGTTTAGTGCACCACCTACCCACCATACCCAGTTTAGTGCACCACCTACCCACCATACCCAGTTTAGTGCACCACCTACCCACCATACCCAGTTTAGTGCTCCACCTACCCACCATACCCAGTTTAGTGCACCACCTACCCACCATACCCAGTTTAGTGCACCACCTACCCACCATACCCAGTTTAGTGCACCACCTACCCACCATACCCAGTTTAGTGCTCCACCTACCCACCATACCCAGTTTAGTGCTCCACCTACCCACCATACCCAGTTTAGTGCTCCACCTACCCACCATACCCAGTTTGCCTCGACAATATAAGATGAGCTTGGCATTTTATCATATGACAGAGTATATTTGTCAACATATACTGTACAAAAAAAAAAAAAAAAAAGCAGCGCTCGCTGAGTGGAGGTCGTGTGATGTTATCAGAGGTGTAAGAGGGGTGTAGGCTGTCAACCTGGACAAGGATCCATCAAGCAATTGACGTAACCACTTACGCAACCTGACCATTTGTCCTCAATCATGGAGGCCTTGTAAACTATCTACCAGTTTACGAGTACCAAACTTTTAAATCCAAGGTCATTTATTGTTATAAAAATCCTCGTAATACTTCCGAGCTCATACAATGCTTAGTGGATATAAACAGAGCCGCCATGATCGAGAAAAAGGATGCATATACAGGTCTAGTAATGAGTAACGATGAATTGGTTAAAAAATGAATTTGACAGTTTGGATATGTCATGAATACTTATTTATATAAAGTACAAACGATGTTTTCATATTTTTATTTACTAGGTATTTAGCCTTTAAGACATATGCAAGTTTACTAAAATTTTAACCAATGTATATATACTAGTTGCCGCATTTTGTTCACAATAGTCAGTGACTCATTTATAAACCCATTTTCAGATTTTTTTTCAATTCAAAAGGTAGCTTTTTTTTAATACAGATTTTGAAAATAATGGTTGTAATGCCTTAATTAATGAATATGAACTCCACAGTGGCATGGTCAGAACCAGTGCGTGTGTTGCTGTATTTATGTGAGCAAAGATACTATGTTAAATGTATACATTTATGTACCGTGGGATGCACCAACAACTTATTGGAACAGTACCGCGACGAGTCAATGTACATAAAAGCCACAGGTGCACCATTACTTTACAATTTCCAGAGTGTGGGTCTGGTTTATGGTAAATATGACTCCACCATGAATTAGTGTATAACTCAGTTGAAGGCTGAATTGCCGGAGTATCTCAACTTGCTTGTAACCCTCCTCCCCCCCCCCACCCAGGACGGTAGAGCGACTGTCTCCCTTCATGCTGGTCAGCGTTCAATCCCCGATCGTCCAAGTGGTTGGGCACCATTCCTTCCC